TTGATTTCAATTAGGTAGAGAAGGTGGAGTAGCAGAGAGACAACTGATATTAGTCTTGGCTGAGTGCTTAACAGGACTAATAAACACTTAGCAGCCTAATGTTGGATGGATTTTTAAAGAAGTTTATAGTTTTATTTGAGAAACTTTTTTTGCATCACAAATTATCCCATTTTGGATTTCTGTGACACAATTGAAGACTTATAAACAATGATCAGTCCATTTCTTCCTGTTGGCTTTGTTTTTCCATCATTGGGATTTATCTGACATCCCTAAAACTCAACTAAACCAAACAAGATCAACAAAACCTAACCTTGATTCTAAATGAACATAAAGACAGTCCTAACCTGATGCCAGAGTCTGCCCTCAGGGACTTGGAACAGGAGGAGGAGCAAAGCAGGTAGGGGTTCGGAATGGGTGATTCCTGGCTTGCATTGTTACAGCTCCCAAGGGAAGATGTTGTCCCTTTGCCTGGCATGGAGGAATCCTTGGTCTGTGACCACCCGAAGCAAAGGGCTTTTGCCTTCTTCCGCTCTCACCCATCCCAATCTCAAGATCAAGGATAGAGCTATAAAAGGTCCATGGGAAGAGACTTGAAGAGTCCCAGGATGTCTCTTTTTCCCAGCCTCTGCTGTGCTGCTACTACACCTGACTCCACCCCAGGAGGCACACAGGAATCCAGGGAGTAGCTATAGGGCACTGAGTGCCCTTCTCTGTGAAACAGCTACTGTTATTACCCACACTGTGAAGAATCTGAACCTTAGGAAAGTTGAGACATATCCCCAGGGCCACATGGCTGGAAAATGACAGAGCTGGGAGAGTCCTGTCTGCCCACAGCCTGTTCTCTTAGCCACTCTTCCATGATTCATCTTAAGCACCATGTTTTGTGTAAACTTTGTGTGAATTTGACACCAGATACTTTTTTTCCAACTGGTCATGTGATCATACTTAATTCCAATAATTTCTTTGACCCTCACTGTCTATGTATTTAAAACGAGAGTGTTAAACTAGATCACCAAAATACTTTGTTCCTTGAATAAGTGCTCCTTGGGCATCTGTGTACTGAGACACAGCCCCAAACATATGAACAGAGCGTTGCTACAAATCACAGCCTATCTATCAGTACTGTCTAGCCAGTACTCTGGACTCTGCTTGGTTCTGGGGAGTGTTGGGAAACAGTAGCCATGACAACAATGTGGCTGTCACTTGATGCTTGGTCCAGACATAGCGCCATGCCAAGTGCTTCACAAGCATGACCGTACCTGGCCTTCCCTGCCTATGAGGTCAGAACCCAATTGTTCTCATTGTAAATGTGACAAAACCAGACTCAGCATTCTCTAACATGGTCAGAAGTGACAGTACAACAGATCTCAGTGTGCACAGTCTGACCCTGGCTTTCTAACCACTGTGCTGTTCTAAGCAGGACTCTGTGCTCCAGCTATTGATCATCTCCCACAGGGTTTTTATTCCCACTTTCATGCTTGAAGTGAAAATTCTACCCCCTTATTTCAAAAGGGGATGTTCAGTGAGATTTTTTTTTTAAGGAAAGTAAAAGCTTTCTCTACATTCCTGGTATTAAGATGTCTCCTGTAATATTCTGAAAAAGTTGAAATTTGGACTGCCTGCCATCAGAGTCACCTGGATGTACTTGTAAACTACAGGTTTCTGGGACAGGCCAACTGATTCAGATTTTCTGGATAGGAGACCTAGGAATATGTATTCCCAAGTTCTGTCCCCTAAAGCCTTATTCTAAAATTCAAGCTGGCTGCCCTGTGGATGTATATGAAGATCCTCAAGGGTCATTTGTCACAGGTACTTAAGACTTTATTCCAGTTCAGTTCTCAGATGGTTCATATCCCTGTGGTTTTGGGTTTTCAACACTCAAAACAAAGCAATCACTGAAAGCACTTCCATAGTCATTGTGCTTGAAAGCTAGCTTTTGGGGGTTAGCTTTGTATTGTTCCTGGAGAGCTCAGCACTGGCCGAGAAGTCTCCAAATCCATAAGGCACATAAGGATGTTTATCTGGGAAGAAGTTCTCACTGTTAAGTTAGCTATTTTCTTTGGGTTGCTTGGTTTTCTTCTATGAAATCTTCACAATTAAGGCCTTAAAGTCTGTGGGCCCAGAGGGAAAGGGAGTGGGAAGAAAGGGAAGAAGGAATAGTAAAGAAGCCCCTAACACTGGACAATCAGGAGTCATTCATCAAAGGGCAATATCTGTAGAGGTATGATGTTGGGGGTGTCAAATCTACTTTTATACAATACTGAGAGGGCCCACACCTTTTCAGTGTCCTTCTCCACAGTGTACAGTGGAATTTTCCAGTCTGATTCTGTGGGTGTTCTGAAAGTTAAGTGGGCTATGTGCCCCTCTGTTTTAAAACTTTGTGTTTTTTTTTATGAGTTCTGCAAATATTGTCATAAAACCAAACTTATGTACAGTCCTTAATAGTTTTTAAAAGTATAAGGAGATCCTGATATCAAACGGTTTCTGAACATCTGTCATAGGGCTGACACTGGTGCCGTGATGGCCCCGGTTGAGAGCAAAGCAGCATCTTGGATTTTTCTGCGAGCATTCACCTGTGGGCCTCAGAGAGCTCCCAAGCTGCCCTGCGGCACTCACTGCCTTGCATTCACCAGGGCCTTGCTTATGAGCACGCACATGTGTGTGACTGAGAGCAAAATGCCCACCAGGCCACCCTTCATTCGTTGTTTCCTAAATCCCCAGTGGGAAGCTGGGCACACATTTATTGCTCAGTAAATGTCTAAGGAAGCTAGGAAGTTTATGATTCCATTTCAAGATTTTCTTCAAAATGGCTAAGTTTGGTTGAAGTTATCATAAATGTCTTCCCTCTATAAAAAAGGAAAACTCCTTCCCCTCCAATTCTGCACCTCTGCTTCAGTGGCATAGCACATTTCACCTCTCCACCCCCAAAATTGTGTAACGCAAAACCCCAGAAGTCACCCAGACTTGGAACTAACCAGAGTCCTCCTCCTTCAGTATGTGCAACTGTTCCATGGCTCCCAACCATCTTGGCGACAGTTCCAGAAACATCAGTATCCTAAGTGGAACACTCAGAAGTGCCATGGGATTTAGATAGGAAACTGCCACTAGGTCCCTGCCTCAGTGTTAAAGATGGGGGACCTGTCCATGTCATCAGCCTTTAGTTCATTATCTCCAACTTTAGGATGATACTGAAAGCCACAGAGAGAATGTGAACATCACATTCTCCTCACAGTGCCCCATCTGTACACACAATGTCCATTTTAGAGGAAATCCATGTGCAGTCATCTGCTCATGCCTGCTAGCACCTAGCACACGGAGCACTCACACTGACCAAGCAAAGCCCCACTGTAGAGGTCAGGGAAGCCACCTTGCAGTCCAGTCCACATCTCCCTAGAGCCTCATGGCTGCAGCAGATGCTGGCAGACATCAGCACAGACCAGCGAGGCAAATTTCCCAGTGAATGTAATATGGACAGTTGTTCCGTGGTTAGACTACTGTGTGTCCTGTGGTTAGCCAGCTAGATTATTCTTCATGCTTGGTATAAATGTTCATATACAGCCTTATGAGGCAAGTGCTGGTATTATACCCCCTTAACAGAGGAGAAAACTAAATCACTGACAGTTTATATAATATCCAGAAAGTACAAAAACTAATGATAGAGGCTGGATTTGAATCTAGGCTGTCTGGCTCCAGGGTCAGTTCTCTTTTGCATGATGTTATAGTCCCTAAGAGCCATCTTAGATCCTGGATGAATAGGTAAGGTTCTTCCTGCTTTCGCAGGAGAATTGGGGCCACAGAGAGCACAAGGAGTTTTAAACCTCAGCACAAGTCGTTATCAGAGCACCTGACAACTCCACTTCTGATCCAGTTTTCTGTTAATGTACCTGGGAAGGCAGTGGAGAATGACCCAAGCACTTGGACTACATAGAAGACTCAGATGGAGTTCCTGGCTCCTGGCTTCAGTTTGTCCCTGACCTGGCTGTGAATGGCCATTTGGGAAGCAAACAAGCCAATGGGAGATCTCTTCCTCAGTATTCCTAGACAAAATTAAAAAAAAAAAAAAGTAGGAGTGATCCTGGGATCTATCTCAGAACTTGGTGGGATCAAGTGAGGCAGCATGAGGCAATATAGGTCTGTGGTTAACAGAAGAGTGTGAATGGAGCAGGTGTAGTGGAGGGTCTACCAGCCAGACAATCCTCCATCTAACGAGGATAACAAAGTGCTTGATGGGAGGTTTAAATGAGCCAATCACATGGAATGGCTTCCCCCAGATCCTAAGGTTGTTCAGCACAGGCCAGCTTTCTTCTTGGGCATCAGAACTCCAAGCAGAACAATGCTACTCCTGTGACCAGATTGGTCTTCAGCTCTAAGACAAACAAGTCCCAAGTTGCATCAGTGACATCATGGTCTTGGCACGCCCCAGTCTTTAAAGGAGTCTCCACTCTGGGCTCTTCAACCTCAGAGTGACCTGGGCCTGGGAGTGTGTCAGAAACAAAGTGTTTTAGTCCCCTTCCCCTAGACCTTCTGAATCAAGACTTGCATTCTGATAAAATGTCCAGGTAGTTCCTGTACACACTCAAGTATGAGAAGCACTAGTGTATCTTGGAAAGCAGAAATGGTGATGATAGTCTGAGACATGGGGTAGGAAGGGTTAATGTTTAGTTTGGCTCTGGCCAATGCACCGGAAACAGAAGGTTCCAGAGATTGAAGTGTATGAACGGAAGCAACAGGAAGCTTCCTTCCTGCCTGTGTCCTGGACAGCTGGAAGCTCCCAGCTGAGACCTGAGCTGAGCACCCCCAGGCCTGCGGAACAGAGGGCAGCCTGGGACAAAGGGAGGCCTAGTGAGGCTTAATGAGGCCTGCTGGCCTTGCCTGAGGACTGACTGGGCTCAGAGTGAACCTAGGATGTCCAGTCGTCCAGCCAAGGCACCTGAGGTCTGAGGCATAGTGGAGAGGCCTGGAGAAATGTCACAAGGTTAACTTAACCGGCCCTCCCAAGGGAGGAGGTGGCCAGAGCTGAGACAGCTGCATGAGGGCCCAGGCCCACCTCCTGGCCTCTGGTGGGTGGGAAGGGTGCAGGTTCCTAGATGCAGAGCTGTGACTGTGTTCCTTGGCCCTCTTCCCCAGTGCTGGAACAGCTGATCCCAGAGCTCACAGGGCTACTCAGCCTCCTGGACAACGAGTACCTCAGTGACACCACCCTGGAGAAGAAGATGGCTGTGGCCTCCATCCTACAGAACTTGCAGCCCCTCCCAGGTCAGCCACAGGCAATCAGTCCGGAAGTTTTCACTGTGACAGGTTGTAAAACTTCCACTGCCCTCCTCCAGAATCTTCAATAATTCCCCAGGTCCTTCTGCAGGAAGACACAGAGGCCTCTAGAATGGTGACACCTGCACATGTCACACTGGTCCAGTTGTCCATCCACCTGAACCTCTTGCTCCAACACATCCTGCCTGTGCTCTTTGTGTACCTGCACCCTGCCTCAGCCCTCTCCAGACCATATACACAGAACACACATGTCTCACACACACAGCAGGCACACATGGCATACATTCACACATAAGACACACACTGATAAGCATAAACATCACACACTACACAAGCATTCCCACACCCCTCTGATACACACACACATATCCTTCTGAGCTGTACCCCTCCCCTGCATATCTGTCCATGTCCCATCCTCCAGGTCTCCACCCTTCACTGTGGGTCTAGCAGCAAGCCACCTTCAGTCACTACAAGTTCTTCATCACCTCCCTCTCAGTTAAAGGGACAAAATGTGCCCAGTGAACTCAAATGAGCTGAACCCATGTCCCATAGAGTTCACAGCATCTGAAGGCCACTATAGGAAGCCATGTAGTGGGTGACTGAGCCTCTTCCCAGAGACAAAAGAGTTGATGTCACCTGCTTCCCACCTCTCCCCCAGGGACAATTAAATGAAGCAGTGGTTTTCTGATCATGGTTGCTGGAATCCCTGTCCCCTGGTTGTCCCCAGGGAAACCTCTGTAACATTGGCTTCTGCGCATTCTTTTCCTTGGAGAGAGATCCTTGTTGGTAGCAATGTAAAAAGAAAACAAAGTCTGAAAACCATCAGAGAATGTGGGATATGAACACACTTCACAATGTGTGGGAGGGAAGTTCCAAGGGGGGTGGAGCAGACCTGGGCCCTTCCCTGCTCACTGCTGCTGTGTCCTTCTCCTGACAGCCAAAGAAGTTTCCTACCTGTATGTGAACACTGCGGACCTCCACTCTGGGCCCAGCTTTGTGGAGTCTCTCTTTGAAGAATTCGGTATGCAACTGTATCCTGACTTCAGCTATAAGACCCTCCCTCTGCCTGTGGATGTGTGTCTGCTGCTCCAGCTTACAGAAGCCCTCAGACTGGCAGGGCCTTCCTCTCACATTATGTCCCTGAGTTGCTTTGGGCAGTTCTTTAGCATCCCTGGGCCCTGCCAGTTCTGGAATATAACTGAAATCTGCAATGATGAGATTCCAGAGAATTAATGGATAGCACAAGTAAGTGTGCTGTCCAAAGAGGGCCCCGCATGAGAGAGAGAGCAAATGCCTGCCGTGCCCATTCTCCAGTCCTATTCTTGGACCCTGGGTCATACTGTCCAATAGCTCAGCAGAAAATGAGAGCCAAGTTAGAAGAGCAGGGGCTGCCCTGGGGGCATCCAAAGGGGGGCAACCCTACTCAACACACAGAGAGCTGTGACAATAAGTGATTTTTAGGGACTGTGACTTCACAGCACAGCTGGAGCATCCTGACAAACGCTGTCTTTCTTCCATACTCTCATGAAGCCTGGGAGACAGAGTGGGGATTCTTGGGACCCGTTTATGTAAGGTGACTGGGTCACTTACTCAGGTTACTAGTGGAAATGGTAAGGCCTGCCCCCACCTTCAAGTTACCAACCCCTAACCCAGCCCTGTAACCCTTGTACCATGTGCATCCGTGTCTCTTCTGCATCATGGCCTGACCTAGACTGTGACCTGAGTGACCTTCGGGACATGCCAGAGGATGACGATGAGACCAGCAAAAGAGCCAGCCCTGAGCCAGCCAAGAGCCCGTCTCTGAGGAATGTGAGTCATGGCCTGGGTCCCCATGCCCACAGGCCCTTTGATCTTCCTGGCTGTCTCCTTCCTAGAGGTGGTTATGGACAGGGCATTTCAGTGGCCCTGATGTTCTCTGTGATGGTGCTGAGAGGAGAGTATGTGGAGAATTCATGTGCCCCTCTGCCCCCAGGTGGCACCACCCAGCCTGGGAAGTGCACACACAAGGGCCCTGCAGGAAGGCTCTGCCCCCGGGGCTGGGTGACCTCTACCCTCCACACTACTCTGTTCCCTAGCTTTGGGCAAATCACTTTCCGTCTTGAATAAAGCCTGAAATTTTCACCTACAAATGAATGACAAGACCAGATCTAGGGTTCCCAACCTTAGGGCTGTGGAATTAGAAAAGGGGGCCCAGGGCAGTCATAGACCAGGTCTGTCAGCTGCACAGTTTATCTTCATCACTGCTGTCAACAGCATCAACTGCTGATAGCTCTCCGTGTACTTTACATGCCCATAGCAGCCGAATGGGGTTAGCACAATTGTTATCCCCACTCCACAAATGACAGGACTGAAACTCGAGAGGGTGAGCAGTATGCCTAATGCCCCACAACTAGTGACAGAATGTTGTTGTAAAATAAGGCTTCCCCTGACCACACAGTGAGCTCTTAGCTACCTGCTCAAGATACCTGCTTGTCCTCCTGCCCCAATGTTAATGTGGACTGCAGAGGATTGCAAGACTCACCGAGGCTTAATAAATCTGCATGGAGACATAGGTTACCCATGCAGGACACACAGACTCTCCTGTCTGCAGTGTGTAGCTCTGTTAAGCTGTAGCTTCATACTCCGACTGCCTCCTGCCTACCAGGAGCTCCAGCCTCCCTCTTACCTGCAGCACCCTTCTTCTCCAGCTTGTTGGTCTCACACACCTTTGTCCCCCTGCAGGCAGGTGAGCTGCCTCCGCCACTGCCCAGCAAGCCTCCGCCTGAGGACTACTATGAGGAGGCCCTCCCGCTGGGCCCCGGCAAGTGCCCAGAGTACATCAGCTCCCACAGTAAGTTCAGGTTCCCTCCTGTTCTCCTGGAGCTTGGCTTTTAGTCCCAGTTCTTGGTGGCCTTACACCTCCCCTGTTTCCTCTCTCTAGCCCTCTGATTCTCCTTAACGGAAGAAAGAGGAGCTGCATGTTCCTATCTAAATGTGCCAGGATGGAGGTCAGCATGGCCACTCTGACTCCCTGTTCTGAGGCCTATCACTGCTGCTAACCTAGAACACCCCTCCAGCAGATGCTGACACAGCTTATGTCTCAGCAGGGAAGCATAGCATCTTACAAAGCAGACTAAATAAAAAAAGCATATGGGCTAAACCGACAGCCTGCAGAGTAGGGCACTCCAAGATGATGTGGGCAGAAATATGAGCTTTATCCATACTTGGTTTCACACATCCCTACAAAATGCTGTGTGAATATTCTTAGCATTTATAATCTAATAGCATGACACTTCAGAGTTTATATATACATAGATAATTTACACATGCATAAGTAAATACAAATATACTGCACAGACCTGTTTTTATTGCTAAAAGGACACAATAAAATTATTTAGAAGGCACTTGTACAAACTATCTGAGAGAAATCTCTTAAATCAGCCACAAAGAAGAGCCCTGGCCTTCCCATGCTTGTCCTCGGGTTATAATAGGTGGCTACTCCTCTGAGGATCAGAAGAGGCCACTTGCTTGGGGATAAGGACTTATCATTCCTGCAAGAACATGTTTTGTCGTTTTGAAAGACGACCATGTATAGTTCATTTGCATAAGATGGCATCTGTGTGATGCCACCCACCATTCTGCACCATGGAGAAATACTCTCCAACCACCAGAAATTAAGTAAAACCAGTTTGCGCTGATCAGAAATGAATTGCAAGATAAGTCATTAAAGAAAATAGTATACTGCCTATAAAATGATGCCATTGGAGTTTTTTCTAGTAGAATCTAGTATGTTCATTTTAGAAGTTTGTCTAGGATATGCAAGAAACTATCAACAGGATTTTCTGGGAAAATGAGTGAATTTTTAAAATTATGGATGCATTTTTTTGTTGCAGTAAAATGCACATGAGATTGACAACTGCCACCATTCTAAATATGCAACCAGTGTCATTCAATACGTTCACAGTGGTAGCCATCGCTCAGTTCCCAATCATTTCCTTATCCCAAAAGGAGCCCCCAGACCAGTGAGCAGCCACTGCTCAACCCCTGTGACCCACAGTCTGCTTCATATGCCCATCGTCTTGCCTCCCTCTTCCAGACGCGACAAAGGGGTGGATTCATACATATGTGGCCTTTCGTGGCTGGCTCCTTTCACATAGCTTTGTGTCTGTAAGATTCATCCGTGCTGTAGCACTAGCAGAACTATGTTCCTTTTTATGGCCAAGTGATGTTCCATGTTGTGCCTATCCACTCATTTGCTGGTGGATACTGGACTTGTTTTTGACATGATAGAATTGCACTAGCAGAACCCCCTGCAAGCCTGACAAGTCACAGTTCTAAGTCACTGCAAACAGCTCTTTGGAAGTGAAGCAAGCAGCTCCACTTTAACTATTCAAAGGTAGGAAATGGGGTACTACTGGGTCCATCATCCCAGTGAAACCCCTGGGCTAGAAGAGGCTCTTCCACCTTCCTAGTCCACTTCCCTCTCAGACATGGCAGAGAGGCCTCCTCCCAGGAGCAGCCGGGATCCTGGGGTAGGAGGGAAGGGAGGGCCTCAGGAAGGGCTTGGACTCCAACCAGGAACAGCTGCCAAGCCCACTGGGGAGTATTCTTCCTCTCACACCCAGATCCCAAGCCTGCCAGGTGTTCTAGTGCCTTGCCCTGTGCCCCACCCATTTCCGCACAGCACCTCCTCCTCTCCCATCTGTACTGCCACTGCCCCTGGCAACCTCAGTTCACTTCACAAGGCAAAGGCCAACATCTGAGACCCTAGAGAGGCTGCTGGGAAAGGCAGGCCCTGAGACTCGTTGAGGGCACAGAACTGGTATCCCGGTCATCAGGAACTTCAGTACTGCTGTCCTCAGGAAACAGATGGACAGGAGTGGATGTGAGGCCAGCACAGAGTATTGAAGAACAGTGTAGTGTGAGAACAGTGGGCCCAGGGAAAAGCAGGCTTCCCGAAGGATGGGACGTGCATCCGGGCTGGGGCTCTCAATTCTGATCCAGGCTGTCACTTGCAAACTGTGAGGCTTGTTTCCTCATTTCTCCCTCCCAGCACTATGAGACTCAAAGGACACAGTAAAAGTGACAGCTTACACTGGTCCAGCACTTCATGTGTTCCTCCCAGTGAGTTTATCTGTATTAGATCAGTAACCCAAGGTAGGTGCTATGCATTTCACAGCTGAGAAATATGAAATGCAGAGAAACCATGTTTTCTGCCCATGGTTACTGGGTAAATGGCAGAGAGAGGATCTGAATTCAAATCAAGCCAAAAAGCACATGCTGTTAACTAAATGAACCTATAAGTGTGCTCTGAGAACTGCCTGTAAGAAGAATCTTATATAGTCTTGTGAAATAATGTTGGTGAATAAATCACTGGCATTCAACACTGTTTCTATTTTTATGTGCATTTAGAATTTTGCTGTTGTAGTTTGAGCATCCCAAATCAGAAAATCCAAAAGCCAAGATTTTCCCACAAATTCAAAACTTTTTCAGCATTTCATGACACCAAAAGTGGATAGTTTCACACATGACCTCCTGGAACAGGTTGGCCAAACACAGGTACACTAAAAATACTTAAATAAAATGAAACACAAATGACTTTGCTGTTTAGTCTTGGGTCTCATCCCTACAATACTTCAGTATGTACAGGCAGATATTCCCAGATCAAAACACCTCTGATCCCAACCATCTCAGATAAAGGATATTCAACATGTAGAAATGACTTTATTTCATTTTTAGAGCAGATTTCTCAGCCAAGTCTACTCCACAGCAACCAAATCTCTGGGGATACCACCCAGGGGTCCTCATTTTAAAACATATCTTGAGTAACCCCCAAAAACCTCTGTGCTATGCTATCTCCCAGCCCCAAATAGGAATGCACTGTTCAGAGTTCCGTGTAGGTAGCAACTCCCATGCAATGTTATTCTCCTCTAGTCTAAGTCTTCTATTGTGTTTATATATATTTAGGAGATTCAGTTTGATAAAAAGAGGGAACAGGTGTATTTGGAAGTGAGTAGAAGGGATGGGGTGGAGGAAGATGAGGGCAGAGCAGTGAAGGAAGTCTGAGCCTGAGCAGCTGGAACACCACTCCATGCAGAGCAGGAACCAGGGCTGAATTCAACATGTACACATTCCCCAGTACCCTGGGGTTACAGGAAAAACTGGGAAGGTCAGAGGACAAATCTTTGTGCTAGGTCTTAAAGAATAAGTAGAAGTTGTGTAATAGGAGATAAGAGAGCACTGGCAAGAGTAGGAACACAGGCCTAAGAGTATGGCAGGGCCAACCACAGTAGTTCCTGGTGGCAGGAGCACATACAGGATAGATGGGAAGCAGAGACAAGATACAGAGAGCATCCAGACAAGGAACAGCCAGGAACTAATATTCTTCCCTGAGTTAGGGTGCTGGTAGGCTGCTTTTTACCAGACCTACCCCTGAAGTCTACCTGCACTTCTCTAAGCCCTTTCTGACAATTCCACAGATGGCTGCAGCCCAGCCCACTCCATCATGGATGGCTACTATGAAGACGCAGACAGCAGCTACCCCACGACCAGGCTGAACGGCGAGCTGAAAAACTCCTGTAAGTACTGGACAGATCAGACAAGTGCTACCTGCACAAAGAGCAAGCCTTGACATGGCCTTGGACACATACATGGTCACCACTCTTGAACCAAGTCAGAGTCCCCAAAGCCCTTGCTTTTGATGACCCTAAAACTGGAAGACAGGACCCAGAATCTAGCCATTGCCCTGACTCTTGACAACTGATCTTAAGTGAGTCATTTCCTCCATCTGAGCCTCAAGCTTCCTGATCCATAGAATGGGGGATTTGCCGGATGGCCACAAGAATCACCTAAGACAATGGAGAAGAAAGTAATGGGGTCAGGACAGAAGCCAAGGTACTGAGAACTTAGTAAGTGGTGAGCACTTGGTAAACATTTCCCATCATCAGCTGAAGAAAGGAGGTACTATTAGATTTCTTTTTTTTTTTTTTTTAAAGATTTATTTTTATTATTTTTTCATTGGAAAGGCGGATATACAGAGAGGAGAGACAGAGAGGAAGATCTTCCGTCCGATGATTCACTCCCCAAGTGAGCGCAACGGGCCGATACTATGCCGATCCGAAGCCAGGAGCCTCCTCCGGGTCTCCCACGCGGGTGCAGGGTCCCAAAGCTCTGGGCCGTCCTCGACTGCCCTCCCAGGCCACAGGCAGGGAGCTGGAAGGGAAGCGGGGCTGCCGGGATTAGAACCGGCGCCCATATGGGATCCCGGGCGTGCAAGGCGAGGACTTAACCACTTGCGCCACCGCGCCGGGCCCTAGATTTCTTTACTAAAGAGGACAATGGGACATGAAGTCAGCAGGATCACAAAGCAAGTGGTGAATCTAAAACACATACAAAGATAGGGGTGTGTTTAGTCATTATCATTGGCATGCCACAGCCCCTGTGTGGGTCCGTGCCCCGCCCCCACAAGCTGAGGACCTTTCTTGGGGACAGCACAGTGACAGGGCCTTTCCTGTGGCGCCCACAGACAATGATTCTGATGCAATGAGCAGCTCCTACGAGTCCTACGATGAGGAGGAGGAGGAAGGGAAGGGACCGCAGCCCAGACACCAGTGGCCTTCGGAGGAGGCCTCAATGCACCTGGTGAGGGACTGCAGGATATGCGCCTTCCTGCTGCGGAAAAAGCGCTTCGGGCAGTGGGCCAAGCAGCTGACGGTCATCAAGGAGGATCAGCTCCTGGTGAGTGGCCTCATGTGGCTTGGGGTGTGAGTGTGCCTCCACGTGCATGACATCTGTCTCAGCCCTTCTGGCCTGGCTGTGTGGGCAGGGGTTCAAAGCTTGGAGCTTCCAGGATGGGGTCTCTCCCCTGCTGGCAGAATTTAAACACACACAAATCCTATAGACTTGATGGTATAATCTTTGCCAAGTTTCTCTTTGGCCAGAGAAGAATGTTTTAACATGTTAAAACAACATTTCTTGTTTTTCATTATGTAAGTAAATGTGCTGATTCATAAAATTAACGAAAAACAAATGAAGTGATTTTTTTAAAAACCGCCCAAAATCCATTGACCAAGAGATATCCATGGTTAAGTCTTAATGTACATATTTTCACCCTCATTTCTATATGTTTGCTTTTTAAAAAATAATTTATTTACTTTTATTTCGAACGCAAGTTTTACAGAGAGAGAAGTAAAGACAGAGAGAGAAATCTTCCATCCACAGATTCACTTCCCCCAATGACAGCAACAGCCAGGGCAGTGCTGTTCCAAAACCAGGAACCAGAAGCCTCCTCCAGCACTCCCATGTGGGTGCGAGAGCCCAAGGGCCTGAGACATCCTCCACTGCTTTCCCAGGCCATAAGCAGGGAGTTGGATCAGAAGTGGAGCAGCTGAGATATAAATCAGCGCCGTAGGCTGAAGATTAGTGTGCTATGTCACTGTACCGGTTCCATATGTTTGCTTTTTATAAAACAAATTCCCTACAGCATTCACTGTTTAACTTGCTTTGCTAAAGGTTTTTTTTTGTATGCCATCTCTCATTACTATTGCTTCAAAAAAGAAAAATGCCTTTAATTCCAAAATAGGAGAATGAATATGGTTTATGAATATAATTTCAGAAAAAATAACAGCTCCTCACCAAAAGTGTGTTGATAAGCCTTGCTCAACACTGATATATTTGAAATATGACCTTTTTGCCCCTTGGGCCAGTGAAAAGTTCACCCCAACACTGTACCAATCCAAAGGGTCATGAGCATTCTCTCCCCACTACTTAATACTTATTTTTCCTGTATTTTTCCTGGCTTTCTGTGGTGACCAGGATCTCTAGCATGGTGTAAATGCAAATGGTAAGAGCAGGCATCCTTGACTCAGTCCAGATCTCAAAGAAAAAGTTGTACGTTTTTAAATTAATTAATTGAGAGACAGAGTTTCTATCCACTGGCTCACTCCCCCATTTGCTCACAATGGGCACAGGAGGGTGAAGCCAGAGAAAGAAACTCAACCAGGTCTCGCATGTGTGTGGCAGAGGCCTAACTACCTAAGCCATCACCTCTGCCTCCAATGGTCCACATTAGCAAGAATCAGGAGCCAGCTACAGAATCCAAATAGCCCAATATGGGAAGTCTTAACCACTAAGCCAAACAATTCCCAAAAAAGGGAAGCTTTTAATAAGTTACATAAAAGCTGATACTTGCTGTAGTTGTTTGTAGATGTTCCTTATTATCATGAAACAAAGTTCCCCCTATATCCCAGTTTTCTCAGTTTATATCACAAGTGGGTACAAATTCTGCCTCCACTGAGATTTGTGATTTTTCCCCTCCTTTTTCCTATTAACATGATGAGCTATATGGTTGATTTTTAAATCTGAAACTAACTTTGCACTCCTAGAATAAACCTCACTGGGTTTTAATTAAGTGTGCCCTTCCTGTGCGTCTGGATTTGCTAGTACATTCAACCAAGTGGGTGTACAGATTCTTCAATCTTAGGTTCTACATCCAGAGAGTCAATCGTTTATGCTTCAAAAAACAGTCTGCTGAAAAGTGTGTCTGTACTAAACTTTGGGACACATTTTTTTTTTATAACACAAACTTTCTTCTAATAACTATTTACATAGCATTTAACATTGTATTAGCTATTATAATTAACCTACTAATGTGCATATGGGAAATTTTGCATAAACTATATATAAATACCATGCAATTTGTGTAAGGGACTTGATCTTTAAATTTTGATGTCTATAGGAGTGGGGCGGCCCTGGAACTAAATCTCTGATTATACTTGTTTAGGACTTTTGCCACTATGCTAGCAGAGAAACTGGCCTTTGTCTTTTTTGGTAACGTTATTGTTAAGTTTCTGGTGTGGTGGTAGCACCAGCATGAAATCAGTGCTGATAAAATAGTGACTTCCCACGGCCAACCTTGCCTCTCCCACCATTCTCTCTTTCCAGTTTCTGCTGTGTAATTGTTTGAATTGGCTTCCCCTCAAGCCAGGTCATGTCTTCTCCGGTTCTTCAGGCTAGAATGGTGTTCCAGGCATTGCACTGAAATTTACCTTTTCCTAAGCAGGCAGTGTACCTGGAGACTTCCCTGAGGGGCCAGGCTTCTGAGTGTCCTCATGCAATGCCCATGGGTGGGTTGAGTCAGGGAGGTTTTTGAGGTGGAGGAGCTATTATGTGAGAGGTCTCTGCTATCTTCCCCCAACTCCAGAAGGCACTAATATCTTCTCTCCCTGTCCAGTGTTACAAAAGTTCCAAGGACCGACAGCCACACCTACGGTTGGCACTAGGTGTCTGCAATGTCAGCTATGTGCCCAAGGACAGCCGGCACAAGAGACACGAGCTGCACTTCTGCCAGGGAGCCACAGAGGTCTTGGTGCTGGCTTTGCAGAGCCGGGAGCAGGCTGAGGAATGGCTGAAGGTACATGGGGCCTGTGCTTCCCACTCAACTATTCTTTCCTCCTCTCTTCCCCAGGCCAGCCTTCAGGGAACTGATCTTACCCCTAAAATGAACCTTATGTGGAGACATGGGCAGTTGCTTGGGCCCAAGCAACCTGCTCACAGCCAGGGCTCCTGTGCAAAAGTGAGCCTCAAGCATCTGCAAGAGACAGGCTTCATACTAGAAGCTTCTGTCCTCTCTAATTAGTTGATCCCCCTTTCTAACATCCCTACTATAGGCTTGTCCAGTTTGCACTCATATGCCTCCTGGATGGGAGCTGGTAGACCAACTTGCAGAACTCGAGAACTACCATACACTGAACTCTTGCTTTGTGTCATGCAATATGCTAGGAACCTTACCCACATAATGACATTTACCCTTCCATCTTACAGATGAGAAAACTGAGAGCACAGCAAACTTCCATGACTTGCCCAAATCACACAATCAAGTGGTTGGGAGCAGGATCAGAAGCTGAGAAAATGAATCTCTGAAGGTCATAAGCAGGATACCACAGAAATAACAAGAAAACTTTGCTGGCACATACTTACTGGCTGTGCGATCCTCTGCAAATGACTTCCCCTCTCTGTGCCTCACTTTCCTCATATCTAAGTGTGTCTTGTCAGTATTTCAGAGAGTACTTGCTGCAGTTCCTGCCAGAGAGCAAGTGTCCAGCCTGTGTCCAGCAAGTGTCAGGCATTCCTGCTGCAAAGACAGCAAAGCCCTCTCCCCCAGGCTCTTAGCAGAGACCCTCCATCTAAATCTGCCTCTGCTTCTCTCCTTCCTTTCTCCTCCACCTCCTCTGATCTCCCTGATGGAACAATGAAACCAAGGACCTCCCACACTCGCCTTCCTGTCTTCCTTTCTGTGATAACCCATGCTCCCACCAGAATGTTTGGTGTCTCTCATCACTGTTGCTGTCTCAGGAGGGGAAGGAGGGAGAGAACCTGCCTGCTAAGGCAGCAGCTGCACTCCCTTAGGGTATGGAGGGGACAGAAGGCACTTCAGCCCCCAAGTTAAGTGGCCTGGCTTGACCTTCCCATCCTGAGAGACCCATACCTATAAGGTTAGAGCAGGCAACCACATTTGATGTCTGGCTCTGTTGCCACCTCACAGAACTCATCCTCCTAATCTGTAATTCAAGGATCACAAGGCTGTGGTGGGGATAAAATGGTACCATCCACAGAAAGCCACCTGACAGGTGAGCAGGAAGTGGTGGCTGTCATTATTTCATGGCCTGTATGCTTATTGCCTTGGGCCAGGGACTCTTAAGTGTCAGTTTCCACATCACTGAAATCTGTGGCACTGTTAACTTTGGCTATCACCTCAGGTTGCTGTAAAAGGTGCACACTGTCACAGAAGTAGGCTCTTCACCCATCACAGCCATGATCTCCGTGTCCTCAGACAACCCAAGCCAAAAATGAGCCTTATTCCCATATTATGGATGTAGGCACCGGGGTCCAAAGCAGGGAAGTAGCTTTCCGAAAGACCAGATCTAGAAGCCAAGCTGCTTGATTCCTGACCCTGCCTCTTTTCAATCTGAGGGACAGATGGAGAAAAAAACCCTATAGGTCCTGAGCACTCCACATCTGTGCAGGTGGCTAACTCAGCCAATCACTTCCTCCAGTCACCTAAGCCTTTTGCCCAATGTCCACACATATTCCATTCTTCTTTTTCTGCTCCCTGTTTAAAGCTGTGTGTCTTCTCCACAGGTCGTTCGGGAGGTGAGCAAGCCGGTCAAAGCCGAAGGACTGGAGGCACCCAGGTCCCCAGTCATCCTGTGCAAACTAGACCCAGACAAGGTATGCTAGTCTCCACTAGCGCCCCCCATACTGAGCAGTGGGTACTTAGCACAGGTTCCACCATGGAGAAGCTTACAGGCTGTGGACAAGCTAGGTTTGTACATGGGTATCACACAACTTATATGTATGTGCCCAGCACAAAGCTGGAAGAGCAGTAGTTACTCTCAAGAAATGCCTATTGAATTCACAAATGTAGGAATCATTGAATACCCCTGTCCATTCTGCAGCAGGAGCCAGAGGAGGAAGTGACTCATTCTGCCAGAACAGCAGCATCATATTTGAACTGTGATGTGAAAAACAGGTTGAAATTGGTCAGTCAGAATCAGGAGTGTGCCTGCTCAATGAGTGAAACGTTTGTCAGTCAACTGGTCAAGCCATCAGCACATATGTTCTGGTAATTATACTTTTCCAAGTGCTGAGGGTAATACATGGACTCAGGCCTAAATCCTCCACACAACAACAGAACAGTCTAATGCTAACAAGGCTTAAGACCCACATACCTGGGACTTGTGAGATAAAACATGGAGTAACATTTACAGAGGATGACAGTGTGCCTGGTTTCAGTAGGTATATATTCAAAGGAGAGAAATCAGACACATGGAGATTTACCTAATAAAGAAACAGAACTAGGATTTTTATTATTATTATTTACTGGAGAAACAGAAGCAGAGTTCACATCCACTAGTTTTCTCTCCTCATTGTCCACAACAGCCAGGGCTGAGCCAACCTGAAGCCAGGAGCCAGAAATTCAATCCAGACCTCCTGTAGGGGTGGCAGCGATCCAACTACTTGAGCCAAGGTATACCCAAGCAGGAAACTGGAAGTGAGTGAGGGCAAGACTCAAACCCACATGCTCCAATATGGGGCAGTATCTCAGCCTGGCCCCAGAGCTAACATTTAAATCCAGACAGTCTGACTCCTAATGATGAGCATCCTGAGCATCTGCTCTTTCAGTACTTAGTATCTCTGCACACCAATCGCTATGCTAGGCCCCAGCATGCAATCCAGCGACAGACACAACTCCACCTTCACAGTGCTTAAAGCCTGGGGGAAGCAGACAGGCACATGCCAAGCTGTGTACAAGCTAGGTAAGAAAAGTACCAGGTACCCTGGGAATGTGTGCTGCAAGCCTGCTCCTGTGTTGGAGATCTGGGAAGGCTCCCCATAGAAGTGACATTTCAAGTGAGAATGAAACATTAGAAAGGAAGGGGAGGGGCAAGACATTCCAAGCAGAGAGAACAGGTGGGCGAGCAGAAGGAACCATGGAATTGGAAGCAGCTAGCACAGCCTGGCTCAGAGAGAAGAGGGAGCTTGTCAGCCTACTGATACTGCAGAGAGAGAGAGAGAGAATGTGTGTAAGAAGGAAGGGGGAAAGGTTTGGCAGCAAGAGCTCACACTGGCCAGAGGGACAGGGAGGATTAAAGAAGTGGGAACCTATGGTAACCCCTAAAGCATGGGCAAGACTACATGAGGCAGAGACAGCCAAGAGAAAAGGACAGTAGAAGAGTGGAGACTGTATGATTTTACAGGTGTGTGCTGGGGTGCAGTATGAAGGATGCACACAGAGGCAGATGTGGCTAGCTTGAGCAGCTGAGCTTTCCTGTGGCAGAACAGCCAGGATAATTTTGGTGGGGAGAGAGGATGCGGTTGTGATACTGGGGCATGGGAGTCTGTCTCTCCATGGAATCATGGGATTGTAGTGCCATCATCATTCATTTAATTTCGGAGTACACACAGTGTTTTTTTGTGTTCTCTGTCTTAATGAGAAACTTTCCATCTATACACCATTGAGGATATGCACAACCATAACTTGTGATTCACAGTTTACAGAAGGGAGGCTTTATGCTTGGACAGTTGTATCCCATTTCTGACAGCTGCCACTTGTCCAGACCTTTGGGAAATGAAAGAGGGGAGCATAGGACATCTACTGTCCTCTCCAGTACTAGGCTCAGAGAGAAGGATCCCCAGGCCTGAGCTGAGGATCCTCAGCAGGAAGGGTTTAAGGGCCTCAGCTCTGTGACTCCACCTTCTAGATGGGCCAAGATCATTATCATCATGTCTCAAATCCAGCTGTTTAACCCCTTGAAGCAAAATAGCAGCACACCACACAAGTGAAAGGAAGGGTATAGTGTGTTGACCTCACAATTCTACCAGGACCAGCTCCCTGGTGCCTTACCACTGGCCTCTAAAATAAATGTGATTCAGGTAGAAAATCCAAGCCTTAGGAAGAGGAATTTCCCACAATTCCTCAGCTAGTAAGTGGTAGGAGAGTCACACTTTCTCCCAAGACCAGTCTGGCTAGTCAATTCTACCTTCCATGTTACCTGGTAGACAATTAACAGCCTTGTAACAATTTGTCTTCAGCCTTGGTAGACAAACAAATGAATGAATGATCCAGAGTTGGTACAGTGGGTAAAAATAATGGTGGCTGGTAACACAGTTGTTAACATAGTAGGTGCAGTTAAGTCTCTCTGCCAGGCCTTACCATCCTTTGTCCACCAGGCTAGCATCATAATGGGCCCCTACTGTACTCCCCAGGTCCATCGTGGACTACCATGAATGTCTATACTGATCCCCTTTCTCCATCTTCACTACATTCCTGCCTCATCCCTTTCTGTTGGCCAGGATGACCCTCTGTTTGATAGTACTTTTGCTTTTAGTCTTGCTCTTATCTGTCCCCATAATTGCCACTGGAAGGAATTTCCCATGTTAGATGACATTATATCCCACCTAAAACTCATCCCAGCTCCCTGTCTCCTAAGAAATAGTCTCAACTCCTATAGCATTGGCTATAGTGTCCTGCGTGGCTAGTGTCAGTGGTCTGCCTGTCACCTGGTAAGGTTTCCAGCATAGGACAGCTACTGACAATTACCTGTTAGCTAATTATCATGTGCTGAGAGAGTCGGAGCAGACTGAACCAATAAAGGGGTTTTGCTTAGTGTGTCAACTGATACGAGGCTGATTGTGTCCTTCCTCAGAGACTGTCCCAAGAGAAGCAGACCTCAGACTCGGACAGCATGGGCATGGGGGACAACTGTTCCACCCTTGGCCGCCGGGAGGTGTGTGAACACGGTAGGAGTCTCTGGGAGCTAGGAGGGGACACAGTGGCAGAGCAAATGCCAACTAATTTGGAGATCTGGGTAAGGTGATCCAGCCTGGTATATTCAGAGCCACAGACCAGTCATTGAGGGGACCACAAGAAAAGCCTGTGGGTGGAAGTGGGAACTAGGGCTCCCTCTTGTCCCTTGACATTTGTTTACATAATAGGTAAAGGGAAGAAGAGCAGCCTTGCAGAGCTGAAAGGCTCTATGAGCAGAGCAGCGGGCCGCAAGATCACCCGCATCATCAGCTTCTCCAAGAAGAAGGCCCTGGCTGATGACCCACAGACGCACTCTGCAGAGGAGGAGGTTCCATGCTGTGGTGGGTGCGGGCCCCGGGGAGAAGGGGAGACTGGTCAGGAGGATATGGGATCCTGAAGTTGAAGCCAGGAGCCCCTCCATGCCTCATCCACCTCTCCCCCAGGGCAGGGGAGGGAATCCCACATTAGTGGATGGCTTAATACTAATCTGTCAACAATCCACATGTCAGTCATCATCCTGCCCCCTATCACCTCTCCTACAATACTCAGCCAAAGAGAAGGTCAACTGACCCCCATATTCCTGTGCTCCCCATGACCTTAGCTCACCTGCTCCATCTCCTCCCAACTCTGCCACTGTAAAAAGAGGGAAATACAGATCTTCTTTCCCAGCCTATAACATGCCAGGCATACAATTTATAACCCAGTCTTGAAGTAAAATTTCTTGCACAAAAGTAGGTAAGTGCATTCAGTGTAAGTTAAAAGCAGCTTTGAGGCTAGACAAACTATATTAAATACAGCATCCCTTATACTGGAATCCAATAGAAAGTCACATATCAGTATTGTGAACAGGCAATTTTACTGGCCCTGAAAAAATCAGTGAATAATGGCATATGAGGTTAAAAAAAAAAAAATAGTGTAAGTCTAAAATGATAAGGACTTCTAACCCAATCAGTCATTAGCTGTTGTAGATTGTCATGGTTTCTCTTGGCTAGATGTACCTATTCTCGATGCTACCACCAGGTGTCAGCATCTGTCATAAATTTGCTGTTTTCAGTGAGTTGCTTTCAGGGGAGGAAGAATGTATTAGTGGTTCCTGTTCTTGGTATTGATCTTTGGAGTGGCCCCAAGGCTGTGCAGCAGTGCAGCTCACTTCCCATTTCCCAGACAGTTGATGAACACTCACAATGAGATATGCAACGTCACCCTCCCAATAAACCCAGAGCCCTTCTCTCCCACTGCAGGCCAGATGTATCCAGGCACTGTCTCCCTGGTTTGGGCCACACACTGGCCTGCATCATGCCACTCTCTCTCCTTCTGGTCAGGCTACCTGAACGTGCTGGTGAGCCAGGGCTGGAAGGAACGCTGGTGCCGCCTCCAGCGTGGCACACTCTATTTTCACAAGGATCGCAATGATCTGCGCACACATGTGAATGCCATCGCCCTCTGCGGCTGCGAGGTGGCCCCAGGCTTCGGGCCCAGACACCCCTTTGCCTTCAGGATCCTGCGCAACAGACAGGAGGTGGCCATCCTTGAGGTGAGAAAAGGGTCCAGGACATTCTTGGTGGTGCACTCTTGCCAGGGAATCTTCTTTTTCTTTACAGGGAATGCTTGCTACAAACGCCACTGAGCCCAGCAGAAAGGAAGGGAAGCCTAGGGGCTACCGAATGACCCAGCAGAGTTGCCAAACAATGGATCATGTTTTTAATACAAATATACCCATACAAAATTTGGTATATACTGACACTCAAAGATTTGTTGTTGATCTGAAATTCAAACTTAACAGAGCATTCTGCTTTTGTTACTGGCAGTTCTTCACATGAAAGGCACTTGGTCTGATCCAAGTGGGACCTGATTCCAGGATCCCCTCTAAATTCTCCCCACAAAGGGCTGGCCACCTCTGCTGAATCACTTCTCTTCAAGGTGACCTGCCTTTCCCATCAAACAGCTCAGGAAACCATGCAGGAGCCAGTGTATGTTTGTTCCACCTGGCAACCCTTTGGCTATCTAGAGTTGAACACGTCAACACCGGAGTGAAAACCTGAACTACCTCCTCACATTACCGATAGGGAGACTGAGAGCAGGGCAGCCAAGTGCTTTGTTCAGGTTCCACAGAGGGCCGACGGCCTCCTACACATTTCTTAGAATCCAAACCCAGCCTCCTGCTCCCATCGCCACTGGCCACAACCCACAAAATGTTTCCTCAGTTCTTAACCTACAAGAAATATTGCCTCTCGGACTTATTTTCATTCTCAGTAGTTTTAATCTCTTTTTCCTCTTTAACTTATAATTGGAATTTTCTAGCAGAAATGTATCTTACTTAATCAGGTTTAGCATCTGAGTGATTGCTAAGTTTGAGTTTATGATAAAAGCCTTTAAATGTGAATTTATATTAAATTATGAGTCCTTTTTAGAGATCTTCCTATTTGTAGTGCTGTAAAAATACATTGCAATACAAAGAAAAAATTGTTGGCATTTCATAAAAAACCATCTCCTCTAATACAAAATATTTTTTAAAAAATCAAGGTATTAGCTTCTTACTGCTATAATAAAATCCCTGAGACAATTGACACAAAGACAAAAAAAAATTTACTTTGGCTCACAGTTCTGAAGGCTGCCAGTTCAAGATGAGGTGGCCCCACTATCTCCATCTCTGGTAGCAGCTTTCCTGCTGGCAGAATCCTGCACAGGGAATCACATGGTAAGAGGCAGGGAACATTGTACCTGTCTATCTATGTGATCTATTATAAAAACACCAGTATTTGGTCATGGACATTCTACCCTGATGATTTACTCCAATGCAGTCACCTCTGCAAGCCTTAGCTCCAAACCACAAAATTAGAATCCATTTCTATCTTCATTATACCATAAACAGAAAACTTCTGGGAGCAACCTGAGTTCAGGGAGGAAAACATAGTCAAGCCATAGCGTTCAGGGAACATTTAATATAAATTGTTAGGAAGACACAGGCTGCCAAGTGAGGTCATATTACCTTAAGAGAGATGGTCCAGGGCCCGGCTCAGTGGCCTAGCAGCTAAAGTCCTCACCTCGAACGCGCCAAGATCCCAATGGGCACCAGTTCTAATCCCAGCAGCTCCACTTCTCATCCAGCTCCCTGCTTGTGGCCTGGGAAAGCAGTTGAGAATGGCCCAAAGCTTGGGACCCTACACCCCCATGGGAGACCCAAATAAAGCTCCAGGTTCCTGGCTTTGGATCGGCGCAGCATCAGCCATTGCGATCACTTGGGGAGTGGATCATTGCATGGAGGATCTTCCTCTCTGTCTCTCCTCCTCTCTGTATACCGGATTTTCCAATAAAAATAAATAAATCTTTAAAAAAAGAGATGGTCCAAGAGGACCTCTCTGAGGACATGACATTTGAGCAAAATCCTAAACAGAGGGAAGGGGAAAACCTCTATAGATTTCTAGGTGTCTGTTCTCATCTCATTTCTCTGTGATATGTTAAGTATCTGGTATGCACTTAGAAATATCTATGGGTTTGCCTGGAGTGAACAAGGGAGCCAGATGTCCCGGCAATGCCAAAATGGATTCCACCTGTGCCTCCTCTTCTGCAGGCAAGCTGTTCAGAGGACATGGGTCGCTGGCTGGGGCTGCTGCTGGTGGAGATGGGCTCCAATTTCACCCCTGAGGCACTGCACTATGACTACGTGGATGTGGAGACCTTAACCAGCATCGTCAGTGCTGGGCGCAACTCCTTCCTGTAAGGGGGGTCGGGGAGAGGTTGCTGGGAGGGTGGGGGTGAATCTTCCTGCCTCTGCTCCATCTCAGAAGCTCTGTGTCCAGCCTTGGGCACTGGGAGGAAAGAGAGAAAGAGAAAGAGCTGAGCAAGATTTTCTGCTGGCAAAGCTGGAATGATGCCTTCTTCCAGCAAGGAAGAGCTGGCTGCAAGAAGGCGCCCAAGACTAAGGACAGGTGGGGATGGAATGAGCAAAGGTGGAGGAACCCTACAGTAGTAGCCTGGGCTCTACCTTCCTGCCCAGTACTACAAGCTGTCACACCCTTGAGCATCATGTGGGCACAGGGATGGTCCATTGGCCTTGAACATTACAGGAGCTAGATTCAAGTCCCAGCTGTATCACCACCAGCTACAGAAGTATGGTTGGTTGAGTGCCATCTTGGATCCTGTGTTTTCTGACAGAGTGCCAGTGATGAAATGCATGCCCTCGGTTGTTGTGAACCCCACATGGGTCTTTTTGTATGGAGCCCTAACATAGCACATGGCATATGCTTGCCCTGTTGCTGTTCCTAATGTCTCAATCTGTATTAATAACTGCCAGAGAGTGGACAGGTCAGCATTGTGAGGTACCAGACGTCCAGGTCATCATCATGACCATATCATCATCATCATCACCATCATCATGTCTTCTGTTTTCCAGATATGCAAGATCCTGCCAGGATCAGTGGCCTGAGCCCCGCATCTATGATGATGTTCCTTATGAAAAGATGCCGGTATGACCCCTTGGGGCTGCCCAGGAAGGTGGCAGAAGCCATTCATTAGCCCTTCTTGTCTCCCTGGCTGCTCCTTTTAACTTCTGCTCTTGTTTAACCAGCAACCAGAAAGCGAGTCCATTCTTATCACAGATTGTAGCTAAGGATGAGGAATGCCTTGCATAGGCACTGAGTCAGGTAGTAGAAGGAATCTCAACTGAGAGGGAAGACAGAGTTCTTAAACTTCCAGAGCTTATGAACACAAAAGCATGCAATGCAGCAACTCTTGGTTGAGCCAAGTGCTTGGATCCTCTTCCTGTTTGCCATTCTGCAGATGCTGTTGATCTGTGCTATCTGGGGGGAGTGCTATGTGGTTGTCTCACAGCCTTCACCTGCTGGCATCAACAGTCTAAGCTTCCATTCTCAGAACAGTGTCCCTGTTCTGCTTACTAAATCAAGGAGACACAGCTCATTAATTTACACTGAGGTCTCTGTAGGTGCCATCTGACCCAGAGAGCTCCTGGCAGCCTATCCCAGGAGGGAAGAAAACCTCATTTTGATCCAATACTGGTGGGTGGGTAAGGCGCCACCTCCAAGGGAGAGAGAGGCAATTAAGTTGCCAAAGATGCCAAGATCCCTGCCTTTGATGGTGCACAATGATTCTCTGAGCTCTCATGTCTAAGGCTCCCTTTTCTAGAAACTTCCAGCCATCCTTCTGATGTTCTTATGATCTTTCTTGAGACTCATATGAGCCTGTGGATGCAGCCTGAAGTTTTTCTCAGTTGCAGAGCCCTAACAAGACAGCTTAGGGATCCAGCACTTGAGTCATACTGGGGCCAAGGCTCAGTTAACCTTGGGCTTAGCTTCTTTGGTCCCCAACATCTGGGCCCTATATGAATAAGATATATCTACTTTATAAAACTGTTGCAAAAGAAATTATGTAAAAGAAATCTGGAACCCTGCCTGGACACTGGAAGGTCTTAAATAGGACAGGAGCAGTAAACAGTACAGTTGTTGTCAACACGATTCTGATATCCAGTGTTGCCCTACTCCAACAGGATGTCCTACGATTTGAATGCATTTTGAATGTTTTTTATATTCTTCATGAATAAATGTACAGACAGTAACATTAATTTATGTTGCTTTTCTTATTGTCCGATTTTACCCATTACTTTTCAAGGGAGGACTCTGCATTAGGCACAAAATTAGAAGGATGCTTCCAAATGACGTGGAGACAAATATTTATGATAAATCAAAATATTTATGCTCCCATATAATCTTTTGAAACTTCCTAGCTTCCCTCTTAGTAGGCACTCCAGTTTAGGGTTGCCTCCTGCTGCCTCCCAAAGTATGAATTCCAAATGACACAGGATAAGGGAAAGTACTTTAGAAACAGATGATTACTGCACAAGTCCATAGACAAAAGGCCAAGATCACAAAAGTCCCACCAGCTTCAAGCAACGACCTGGATCAACAAGCCTGAGCCTTCCTGTACTTAATCTTCCTCCTCCATCTCCCACCAGGATGAGGAGCCCGAGCGCCCCACAGGGGCCCAGGTGAAGCGCCATGCCTCGTCCTGCAGTGAGAAGTCCCATCGAGTGGACCCACAGGTCAAAGTCAAGCGCCACGCCTCCAGTGAGTTCCTGTGTGGGCCCTCTCTGCTGAGCAGATTGCCGAGGGGTGGGGAAAACAATCCATGGCAGGGATCGCAGAATCAGGCTCCTGCCTCTAGGGGATATATGAGGGAAGTGAGGAGAGCAATTCCTCTCCCATAAGCAAAGTGACCCCTCACACACTGTGGCAAAGGACAGTTGACTGTGTCCACATGGACAAATAAAAGGTGGCAGGCAACTGTACAAAAGAGGAATGCCTGCGTCCCCTATCCTAGAGGTGAATGCTAATCAGCCCAGTCAATGGCCTCAGTGCAAAGGCCAGCCCTTGTCATCACACTGACCATTTATTCAGAGAATGTCAGAAATCTATACTTCACATAAAATCCATTTATTTTACTATTAACTGGCTTCAAAATTTTAATACCAAATGAGGCCATCTTAATCACAAGAGGTCTTTGAAAAGTATCAGAAAATGCATATTATGAAAAAATGCATTCATTTCAAAAATGTTTGTATCAAAGAATATTTTTTAATTCTGTTTTACACAAACTTATGGAAGCTTGTGTGTGTGTGTGTATGGTGGTGGTGGGGTAACATCTACAAGCTGTATCTGTTTCAGGGCTTAATGATTTGTGGCTTCTGATCTGGGTAAAACCTGCAGAACTGAGCCCCTCCAGATATCCTTGAGTGAGCTGCCACAAAAGCCACAGCTCAACTCCATGTCCTGGGCTTGGTGAACTGCCAGATTGCCACTCTGTACGGTAATGACTAAGTATGCCCAACAACTCTGTCCTACAAAGTCTTGTTTGATTTCCGACACTCTCTGCTCCTGTATAATTTATCTTTATGAGCAAGCCTGTTCCCTGAAGGACAAAATGTTCCAAGAGTTATTTCTTCGTTGCCTTAAGTGTCTTCCCTCTCACCTGAACACAGTCAAGCCTTGTTCTGTGCTTTTCGAAGACTTAATTTTAACAAGGCTTTTCTATGTGACAGTTTCATTTCATGGGGATAGATAACCCTTTCTGGTGGCAGGGAGCTGCATTCCATTTCTCATGGATCACTGGATCACTGTGTGACTTGGGAAATTTCCTTTCCTCTCTGTTGGTCTGAGCAATTAGAGGGTTGTTGTATAAAGTAAACTCTTCAGACTCTGCTCTCTAAAGGCTCTGGAAACACAGGGCTGTTGAAAATGTCCATTTTAAAATGAAAAACAAAACTGAAATAAATGAAATGAACATGAAAGGTTTTAGAAATCACAAAATATCTTAAAAATAAAAAACCTAACACAAAGGGGAAAAAAGCTTAACAACAAAAACCAAAAAAGTAGATCCTTTCTTCAAATCAAATCTATGTGAAATCCACTTTAGAAAAAAGATGGAGCTGGGTCAGGTTGAAACCACTTGGCCTCTCCTTTGCCAAACCAGTCCCCTGTGAGCCATCACTGGGATGCCAGAGGGCAGACAACTGACATAAAGCATTGCTGTTTTTTGGATAAAGAAGCTAAAGGACATAAAAGAGAAAGTATCTTTTCTAAAACTAAGAGTTCTGATATTAACAACAGAAATTTGTTTCTCAGAGGTGTTGGAGCTAGGACATTCAAAATCAAGGTGCCAACGGATTCACTGTCTGGTGAGGGCCCTTCTCCTTTCACCAGATATTCATTCACAGGGCAGGAGGTGAAAAAGTATCTGGAGTCTCACTTAGAACTGACACTGATCTCATTTATGAGAACTCTACCTCCACGAACTAATGACCTTCTAAAGGCCTCTTCCCATAACACATCATACTGGGGGGAGCAGATTTCAACATCTGAATTTGGGGTATGCCAATATTTAGTCTGTAATACAGGGATGTTATCCTAAAGCATGTATTAATTACTTATTGCTATATAACAAAGTATCAAAAATTGAAGTCCCTGAAATAATGAGCATGAGTTATGTCACAGTTTCTGTGGGCCAAGAATTCTGAGCAGCTAACTTGGGCTTAGCGTCCTTGAGGTTGCAGATGGCTTTGCATCTGAAGTCACCTGAACACCTGTCTGGCTGGAAAATCCACTCTTAAAATGGCTCGTTCACATGGCTTATTTTGTGCTTTAAAAGTCACACTATGTCCTGTCTGCAATCTCCTGATAGCTAGCTGCCCAGTTCCGCCTCACTGAGTATGGGAGGGGACTGCAAAAATGTATAAATATAAGGGAGGGTGCAACAAACATGGAGGCCAGGGGCAGACATGGAGAAAATCTCAAGACCAAAGAAAAAATTGAACTCATTACTTAAAAGACAGCTCCAATAATATTGGCAGCTGACTTCCCATCAGGCCAGAAGCAGTGAAGTAACATATTCCAAACAAGTTCCTATATCCAGCAAAGCTTTCTTTCAACAACTAAAACCAAAATAAGGACCTTCTTTCAAAAAATTAAACCAAAATAAGGACATTTTCAGATACTCAAAAACAGAAAGTCCGTTGCCAGCAGACCCAGTGTTATAAGAAGCACAAACAGAAGTTCTTTAGACTGAAAGCAAGTGATTCAGATCTGAATTCACATACCAAAAAAAATCAGTAAAGGTAACTAAGCAAAAGACAATTGTATATTTCTTCTCTTTTTTTTCCCTTATTGAGCTAAAAATCAATTACACAGAAAAGCATTTGTTTTTGTTTTGTTGGGCCTGTTTAGAATAAAGAAATGTAAGATTTTGAAAATAACAGCATGAAGAAGGTGGTAGATGCAAGGAAATGTCACCAAACTGGAAAAAACAAAAAACATGATATGACCACTACATTAATCCATACATATCCTTCTTCTCTGAGCTTCTTTATTTAGTCATAAAAGTATATAAAATAAGAAGAATGCATTTCCAGGCATTTAACATATATAACAGCAATAGTACAAAAGGTCCTTGTCTGATATAGTAAAACATCCTTTGTTGGTCTGTTCTTGCTTTTCCTTTTTAATCCAAACTATAAAAATGTGAAGTCTGGAAACCACCTTATCTAGCATGCCACTGTGTATCTGGTTCTTTGCTCTCCATGCTGTATTTATGATCAGGCTGGAATTGCAGCACAGTTATAGCAGGAACTGATTTTTGTAAAGGTCAACGGGTGACCACTGCAATCCCTCCAAGGGCTGGGAAGATAAGACCCCTAGTTATCAGTAAAGCCTGTCAGTCATTCTGCACCCTACCAACTATCAAAGGGCTGTGTGCAGCTGTCCACCCTGGTGTGCTCCAACATACTGGACCATGGCCTTGGCTCAGCGAGGGCAGTATTGATGGCTTTGGAGTCAGCTGGTCAGAGATTCACCCTCAGCTCTGCCACCATTAGAACTGGGACCCAATCTCTGTGCTGATGACAAAAAGCTCTTGTGAGGATCAAACGTGACTATAAGCCAAAGGCTTCGCATGTAGTACTTAGCATATAGTCAATGTTCAACAAATTGTTGCTGTAATTGTTTGCCGTTATGGTACAACACAGTGTTGAACCTACCATAGCTTACCAGGTCCCTCATCCACAAAACCTTTCTCAGAAATGAAATGTGCAGTATCTGATTTTAACCTAAGTTCTAGAACTCCAAAGGTTTGAGTGACATGTCCTTAACTTATGTATATACCTGAGAGCAGACTATAAAAGCTGCCCTTACCCTTTGGGGGCTGGTACCATGGTAAAAAGTAGGCTAAGCCTATGCCTACAGCACTGGAATCCCACTTCCTGATTTAGCTCCCTACTTATGGCCTAGCAAGCAGCAGAGTATGACTCAGGTCACTGAGCCCCTGCACTCTTGTAGGAGACCCAGAAAAGGCTCCAGGCTTCTGGCTTCTAGCCATCTCAGCTCCAGCCACTGTGGCCATCTGGGGAGGGAACCTGTAGAAGGAATATATTTCTCTGTCGCTCCTTCTCTCTCTGTGAGACTCTGCCTTTCAAATAAAAAATAAATAAATCTTAAAAAATAAAAATAAAACCAAATTATGCTATGCATCACAGAATTTGCTCCATAGTATTATTGACATTACTGTCTAACATTTACTAAGTGCGTACTGTTTGGCAAGAACCGTAAATGCTTTCCACGGCCTCATTTAAACCTGATCACAACCCTAAGAAGCAAATTTTAACAATATTTACACATAAGAAAAGTAAGGTCTGGAGGGAAAGGCACAAAGCACCACTGTTTACTGCTGCCTTGATGTCCCACAACAGCAAGGATCAGAGAGGACCTCCCATTTGTCTGTCTCGAGCCCTCTACCTCCCTTTGCTCCACTGCCTCTCATTTGCTATTTACAGAACTCAGGGAATCTAAATATCCTATTTTCTAGACGGAGAAGCTAAGGCTGAGAGGAAAGCTAACACCACTCAAACATCCTTAAGGAGATCAGAACGAAGGGCCTTTGTCTTCCCCACACCTCTGCAGGTGCCAATCAATACAAATATGGAAAGAACAGAGCTGAAGAGGATGCCCGGAGGTACTTGGTAGAAAAGGAGAAACTCGAGAAAGAGAAGGAGACAATCCGGACAGAGCTGGTGACGCTGAGGCAGGAGAAGAGAGCTCTGAAGGAAGCCATTCGGAGCAGCCCAGGTAACTACATTGGTGTAGTGTGCTAAGAGCCTGTGGGTGACTCAGCCTGGACACAGCCTGCGGCGGTCAGGGGAGCTCTGCTGTATGGGTTACCAGCTTTCCTACCTTGGAGAGGTGGGCTTCTCATTTCCTTCTCTTCAACACCACCATCATCACCACCCCAATAAAGGAAGTATCATAAAGGCAGTAACTACTTTTGTGTAAAGGACATAAACACACATCACAGTAATGTATGTATTTAATGTAGCACGGTACAAGCTGATGTCAAAAGTGAGAAAAAAAAAAACAAGTGTCTTAGAAACAAGGAAATAAGAGGCAATTTTGAATCCTACATTCCTTTATTCAGACATGTGTGTGACACTGATCAGGAGCTGGAATAAGGAACAGCAACACTTGCCCACATGCCTCTTTTGAAATCCAGGGACCTCAACCTGCCTGCTCTGGACTCCTTCACACACTACTTTCTGATGCTTTTCCTTTGGATTCTTTGACTATGGTTGGCTACACTTTCAGCCAAAAGTCTCTGCATACTGGAGGCAACAGAAGGCCTGTCTTTATAGACTGTGTTATAAATTATATCCGAGATCACATTGCCCAATGAGAGTTGGATGGAACCTGTAGACTCATTCTTAAGGGGAAACTCCGCAGGTCACAGTACTGCAGACTATTGCAGGAACTCACATGCCTGCCCCTGGTGTCTACCTGCAGACTGCCCAAGACTCCACGGTGCCTTAGATCAAGTGCTTCCAGTTGAAACGATGGGCTTTTTCTGTGCAGCCAAGAACTAAAATCAGTGGAAAGGAGACCTGGCAAGGTAGTTTTGATTTCAGTAAATTCTGTTTTGCCTTCAATAAAGGCAGAACTAGAATTTGTTGTAGATGTCTTCACTCCTTTTCCTGTCCAGCTTTCTTTGTCCTATAGCATTATCACTTTGTAACCTGACAGATTATTTACTACACTTATTTTTATTTTGTCTTTGGTCCTTCACACACAATTATAAACCCTGTAAGAGCAAAGAACATTGCCTGTTTTATTTGCTGATGTACTGAAGGGCCCAGGGCAGGGTCTGATACACAGAAAGCACTCAGCAAGTGAAGAGTTCAACATTACTGGAAAATCCTCCACTGCAGCTTCCTTTAGGGCAAAGAATAGAGCCAGTGTTTAAATCTAGTAAGAGCCAACACAACCCTGGGCACAAACAAGATATGAATGTAGGTTTGTTGGATTAAACTGAAAAAGCAGCAAAACCCAACTGGAAACCCTCATCAGTACAAAGCCCTGTGTTATGACTTTTTCTCACAAGCAACAGAAAACAAAGTCAAACTGGCAGAGAAATGAAAAGAAGAAAAAAACTGGGAAATTGAGATATCACATCAGTGACGTCACTCAAACATCTGTCTCTCTCTCTCCTCTGATTTCACCATTCTATTACAGTGAACAGAAGATACAATGTGGTGATAGATCAAGTCTGTTATATGCTACACCCGGGATGATGTATAAGGTTAGGCCTACCCAAGCCATAGGATGATAGGAGAAAGAAAGTCTCCCAGTAGACTATATAATAAAGGTGTGGTAGAGTATAGGTAGTGGGCAAGAAAGACTATCTCAGCCAATTTGAAGCTGGAACTTAAGCAAGACTAAGAGCAGGAAATGTCCTTCAGGAAGGGCAGGCAGGAGCCTGAAGCCAGGCCAGACTCAGTGACACTTCAGGCCAGAATCCGCTTTCTCTCACCTGCGTCTCTGACCACAGGAGCGAAATTAAAGGGTCTGGAGGAAGCCATGGCCACCCTAGAAGCTCAGTGTCGGGCAAAGGAAGAACGCCGGATAGACCTGGAGCTGAAGCTGGTGGCTGTGAAGGAGCGCTTGCAGCAGTCCCTGGCAGGGGGCCCAGCCCTGGGCCTCTCCATGAGCAGCAAGAACAAGAGCCAGGTGAGTTGGCTGCCTCTCAGACCAGGCACCCTGTTCCTTAACATGCTATAGATCTCTTTACAATGACGGAGTTCACTGGGAAAGACACTTGAAACAGTGATCAAAAAGCCACTGAGGACACCCACATCTCATCTTAAGAGGGCCTAGCTTTGAGTCCCAGTTCCACTGCAGAGTCCAGCTTCCAGTAAATATGTATCCTGGGAGGTAGCAATAATGTACTTGGGTTCTTGACGCCCATGTGAAAGATCCAGACTGAGTCAGTATATAGGAAATCTCTATGTGTCTTTCAAACAAGTAGACATAAATAAATATATGCATGAATACATATTTTTTTACACAAAGTATAATCACTTAACTGGTGAGAAAACTGAGGCCCAAAGAGGGGAATGGTCATGGCACAGGTGGTGCAGTTGGGAAGGAACTCTTGAGGCAAGTTCCCTTGGTGTCTGGATGGTTATTTTCAGCAGTACCAGTAGTTGTGACCACTTCCAAGTACCATTTCCATGAAAGTGATCTCAGAAACAGCCTTGGGGTTACTGGTAATAGCAGCTGCTCCATTGTGAGTAACTTGTGTTGATTGATTTCCACAGAGCATGCTAATCTGTGTTACTTCACATGATCTTTACAACAGTCCTGTGAGGTAGTATTATGAGTATTATAACCCCACTGGACAAAGAATCTGATGTTTGGACATGTTGAATGATTGTTCAAGATCATTCAAGTGGACACCAAGTTCCAGACCAAGAGGACCTGATCCCAGAGCTCTGCTCAGTCACCATGCACTCTTCCAGGAGCACACCTCTGCACCCCACTCGCCGCACACCAAGTCCTGTCCTCGGCCCTCGGCTTCTGCCTTCATTGCCTCTATGGCACTGAGCAACCCTATAACACCTGTCAATTTCTACTGGGCTTCCTTGGGACTTTTAAGATCTTGTATCTATCATGGCTTCTCAACCTCAGCACCATAAACATTTGGGAACAATCATTCTTTCCTACAGGGGACTGTGCTGAGCATCACAGTACAGTTATCAGCATCTCTCACCCATGCCCACCACCAGTTGGAACAACCAAGCTGCCTCTAGAAATTGCCAGATGTTCTCTGCAAGAGCAAAAATAATCCCTACATGAGAACCAGTGATCAAAATTACCAACAGTCATTATTCTTTCTCATAACACTTAACCATAAATTATGTGTGTTGGTGTCCTTACTTAATGCATATCTAGATTTTATTTTTATTAAAAATTAGACTATATCTGGTTTATCAGTAGCCTTTTACATGAAGTCTGAAAAATACAACTGTAATAAATGTTAAATGAATAACAGGCTTACCTGCTTTCAGACAAGAAACAGAGACATAATGAGATGAATCACTGGTCCATTAGGTACGGGTTGTCACTGACAGCTCATATTGCTATTGTTCTGTCAAGTCACAGGACCTATTTGGCCCACGCCCAGGGACACTGGTCTTTACACCCTATACTTCCTCCCCCAGCGAATTTCCAGCTTCACTATACAGTTGAACATGAGGATCAGGGACAAAAAAATTTCCTAGAATCACAGGAGGATGGAGGAGGAGCTAGAACTAGTTCATTCATCCCAGCTGCTTGCTCCTACCATCATTCCCTGCTGCTTCCTCCATGCTGGATCCTTTTGATACCTTTGGGAGGTGAAGAGTTGTGTGTAAATTCCTTGCAAACTTAGCTTTGAAAATGTCATATTTAAAGAACTACATTTAGTAAGGCACCAAACAGTAACCTAGGAAACTTAATGTAGAAAATCAGACAGAATACAGGAAAGTAAGGTAGAAAATCAGACAGAATAAAGAAGACAGGCTAAGAGTACAGCTGTGGCATTTGAATCCCAGCCTCATACTCACCAGTCATATGACACTGGTTAAGCAACTTGACCTTCCCAGTTTCTTCATCTGTGAAATGGGATAATTACAGTACCTACTTCACAGGCATATTGAAAATTTAAGTAAGCTAATCCAGGTGCATGGATATCTGGTGCGTGGATAGTCTAGAACTGGACCAAACCAAAATCAGGAGTCTGGAACTCAATCCTGGCCTCCCATGTAGGTAGCAGAGACTCAACTACTTGAGCCAACACCTGCTGCTTCCTCAGGTATATGGTCACAGGAACATGAAATTGGAAATGGAGCCAAGACTCAAACCCAGACACCCTGATCACAAACTTGAGATATGAATGACTGAAGAAGCATCTTAACTGCTGTGCCAGATCTTTGTCCTTGCCCTGATTCCTTTGGGGATAGTGTGAGTATGGGTAGCCAGCATTAGACCCAACCTATTCAACTGTTTTTTGCCATTATCAGGAACCTGCAAATAAACCCCAGACCAGTGCCCCAGAGCAACCTCTGCCTGTCAACTGTGTTTCTGAGCTAAGGAAGAGGAGCCCATCCATTGTGGCCTCCAACCAAGGAAGGGTGCTGCAGAAGGCCAAGGTACAGTCGGTGCTCAGCTAATCCAAAAAGATAGAGCAGGCCATTTACACAAAACCTCCTCAAAACCCCAAACTCAAGTGAGCGAGAAAGGACAATTGCTCACCCATCCATGTGAGAACGTTCATGAAGCTTCCTTGGAGGGGAGAGGCCCTTGGCTTTATTCAGAACCAATACACTCTTTGTTGACATACTTGTTCCAACAAGCTCAAGTCCTCTGACTTCTGAGCCCACCTGCGTTGAGACAAGGAAAAGGGCCCAATCCCTGTTAGGAAACAAAAGGTCAGTATCAGGACTTGCTTAGAGCAATGCAGGCATCAATGGAAAAATGGAGCCATGAACCCATCACTTCCAACTGTAAATCCAGGAGTGTTCTGCAGTACCAGTCCACAGTCTTTTTATACTTTAGTTTCAGGGCTTCTGGGTTTCAAAGTTGCAGATAAGAAAGTGTTAACCTGAACAACAAAAGCCTGGTGCATTAGAAATGCTCATGAACCTTTGCTAAAGAACTCAGACCTTTCTGACAAACTGAGGAGGAGTCGAAACTGGAAAGATACTTTATTATTGAAGTCCAAGCTAAGAAATGTGGCTGGTGATAAATTTTCAAGGTCCAACGGCTTTATTAATTATTATTGTTATTAGTATGGGTTTTTATTTAGTAAATTTATTTATTTGAAAGGTAGCATGACAGAGAGAAAGAGGGAAAAAGAGAGAAATATCTTCCATGTGCTGGTTGACTCCCCAAATGGCCACAAAACTGGGGCTGGGTCAAGCCAAAGCCAGAAGCCAGGAACTCTATTCAGGTTTTCTACAACACTGGCAGGGACCCAAGTAACTTGTACCATCTGCTACTCTCCTACTTGTATTAACAAGGAGTTGGATTGGAAGCACAGCAGCTGAGCCTTTGACTGGCACGCTCACTGGGGATGTTGGCATTGCAAGGGGAGACTTAACCTACTGTTCCACAACACCAGCCCTGGAACAATCTCTTTTATAAGATTAATACATCAACACAACCTTTCTTAATTTAAAATAAAACAGCAATGTGGAATAGTGGTTGCTGGGGGCTGGGAAGTGGGGGAAATGAGATGTTTGTCAGATGGTACAAATTTTCAGTTATAACACAGATCAGTTCTAGAGAGAGATCTATCTAATATATATAGTGTGGAGACAACTATTAACAATACTCAATGAGTATATAAAATTTGCAGTTTTCTGAGAGATTTTGACCTCAAATATCACCACAAGAAAGACAGTCATATTAAGTAAGGTGTTAACTAGCTTGATTATGATCATCACAATATGTCAAAAAATAAATAAAATTTAAAATTAGAAAAGCAATAATATAAAAGGGAAAACATCCTATTTGAAGTAGTAGAAAAATCAAATTTTATTTTTCTTAGAAACACAAAGAGCACCTGCTAAATGCCAAGTATTTTGCTCTACACTTTCAATATCTTCTTTCATTACAACTGTGCAATGACCAAGTAAAACAGGCATTTTTAGCACCACTTCACAGCTGCAATTTAACTAAAGCAGTGAACATGACAGACAGGGTCTTAGTTCTCAAGTAGCTTCCAAGCTGGTGAAAAGAGATAGGGAAAAGGTGGTGCATTTGGTGCAGAGGTAGGTGTTTGGTGCACAGTTAAGATCCCACTCAGGATGGCTGCAGCCCACACTGCAGTATCTGAGTATTGTTCCCAGCTATGCTCCCGATTCCAACTTCCTAACAAGCACCCTGGGAGACAGCTACTGATTGCTCCGGTAGTTGGATCCCCACCACTCATATGGGAGACCTGAACCGGTTTCCAAGCTGTGGCTTCGCCCAACTCTGGCTGTTCCAGGAATTTGAGGAGTGAGAATGCAAATTCATTTCATTCTCTTTTTGTTCCCCACCAACCCAATCAAATAAAATATAATTTTCAAAAATGCCCAGTTACCATGAAAAGCTACTTACAGATACATTTACAAAAAATTGTAACAAGAAAGAGGGAATGAGAGTAGAAATGTAAAGATACATGGCTAGAGGAGGCCTCTCTCTTAACAGTCCTCCCATGGTAGAAACAGCCTGAGACAGACTGCAGAGAAAGCGTTCCATGAAAGGGGGCAGCAAAGCCCGACTCTCTAGCATGGCTGCTGGCCACAGCCAGGGAGCCACTGGATTGTGGAAAGGGAGTAGGAGGGTGAGATGAACTGAGGGGGAAGAAGTAGACAGTGCCTGACCATTTTGTGGTCTTAAATTGCACATCTGATCAGAATACATTAAAAAACAGCTACTCATTACCTACATGGCAAACAGTGCTTGGGGAAAGCTAGCCAGTTTGGTCTAGGATTCTTAAATGCAGGTTTATGTACCTAAGCTGCAGCTGCATCCTTGTTTGGAAAAGACTTTCAGTGCCTCAGGGAGCTTGCATTCTCTCCCCCAGTTGGTCAGTCATTGAAAAAAAAAATATTTACTACAGGAAACTTGGGAGAATCAGAGAGGCAACCAGCTAGGAGCTAGAGCATCTAAACCAGGCTTAATCCGTTTTTTCAATAAAAGATCAGATGATAAAGAGTCTGTGTTTTGTAGACTACACATCATCTGTTTCACCACCACTGAACTCTGTCACTGTGGCATCAAATTGGCTACAGAGACTACATAAATAAATGAAAGGTATGACTGTGATCCAAAACAACTTTACAGATATTGGAATTTCATATAAAACACTACTCCCCTTTTGATATTTGCCCAACATTTAAAAATAGGAAATACCTTTTTCCATGAGTCACACAAAAACAGGTGATGAGCCAGATCTGGCCAATAGGCCACAGTCTGACAAGCCTCTGTCTGAGGCCTTGCAGGCCACCACAGGACTTATGCATTCTGTTCTGACATGATGATGGAAAGTGGTTGGAAACTTTTGAGTGCAGGGTTTTGGGGGCTTTTAGTACATTTTAAAAAGGCCATTCTAACTACCATGTTAAGAATGGTACCATCACAGAGAATTGACTTAGGGTCACAGAGAAAGCATGGACTAGGAACCAAGGTTCCTTGGCATGGCCAGTGGAGATAATGTAACATAATTATGTAGTGACATGTTTCATCCCATGAGTCAAACTAGAACATCTAACAAACTGATTTGTCTCATCTCTCTGTACTTCAGGAATGGGAAATGAAGAAGACCTAGAAAGAGAATGCAAATTTCATTCCAAAGGAAATACCAACTTGTCCTAAGGGAGAAATGCTTTGTCACAAGGAGATACCCTGAGAAAACTGGAAATGGTCCCTATTCTCCAGGCCAGCCAAAAGACCAGCTTTCGTCATCTGCATGATTTTAGGGGACTGTAGGGGAGGGAAGAACCAAAAAGGAAGATGGAAGTAGAGGACACCTTTATGACTTTACAGAGAATGGAACTGAGGATAGGAAACAGAAGTCTACACAGTTGTAAGGACTTTTTTAGATGCCTTCACCTTTCCTTCTGGAGAAGAGAAGAAAGCACCTGTGAATAAACCCATCCATCCCATCTTAGTGTCCAGTTCCCAGTCCTTAAGAGAACGGAAGGCAGCACTGAAGCCTCAGGGATGCACTGTAAGGAAAGATGAGACTTGATGATTTGACTGCACTGTACCAACTGCATGTGAGCTGGGCTTTGCTTACAACCACCAAGCAAAGCAAAGAGGCTGAAACATCAATAACATCCCTGTCTGGGGGGAAAAAAAAATCTGACAAGCAGCCACAGAAGATGTGCAGAGGTACAAATGCCATGGTCATCCCTCATCTGCTTCAGAGCTAAGTGCAGCTACTGGAATCTTTTCCAGAACTGAGTTTTAAAATCAGAGATCAGAGTATGCAGAATGCAAAGAGAAATTGAGCACCTAACTTATTTCAGGCTCACAGACAGGATCAGAGACAGGAGAGTGGAGTTCTAATATCCACAGGAGTTTGCAGGCATTGTAGGGTGGGATCATTTGCTTCAATCAAGTCCTTTATCTATTTTAAATGGCACTGAAGCTCCTGGGGCTTTGGTTAGAGATCCAGAAGTCAATATTTTTATACTCATCAAGTCCTCATCTTAGAATCTGCAGGCTCACTAGCCTACCCTTCCACATCTACGATAAAGTAAACTATCAGGAAAAAAATTAAGAGGATAATGGCTTATTTCTGCCTCAAGGATGCTAATCTCTCACAAACACTTGATACCAGTGTCCTGAATTTGCCCCCTCACTACTGTCTCAACCCTGTGTCAGTTTATAGGTATAACATTTCCCAGAAATAAAGGTCTAACTATTTTAGGGGTTCTGAGTGTAGTTGAAGGGAAGAAAGGAAGTCCCAGAAAAATTTCCCACCTACGGTTTTACATACCTCAGCTTTACCCAAACTTTGCCACCCTCTTTATAACAGGAAAGTTAACCTGACCAAAGTCACTCAGCAGATCAGTGGCAGAATATAAAATGTAGGGATTGTGCAATCAAATGCTCTACCCCTAAGCTATACCCCTACACCCTAAATGTAGAGATTATGAACCCAGATCCAGATAGGGCTGGGTTTGAACAATGCCAGCTCAGCCACTGACCAGCTAGATGAGCTTGAGAACATCAAAGACTTAACCTCTCTGATCCTTGCTTTCCTTATATGTGAAAACAGGGTTAATAACTGTACTTTTCTCTTAAGACTGTTGGGGGATTCAATGAGATAATACTTGGGAGGTGTCTGAGACATGGGAAATGCTGTCAAGGGCGGTTCTTATTAGCATAGATGAGAAATGTCTGACTCCAAAGCCTGTGTCCTTTCCACCAAGCATGAAATCACCTTCTTGTGGTAATTACAGCCACCAAAAGCTGAAAGGCAACCAGTTGGCAAGTGCTGTGTCTCATCTTCATTCCACATCAGTGTCTCCAGTGTCAAAGGAAGTCACACCCTGCGGATTGTCAGTGTTCCTTTGTAAATATGTGACCTTGGAAAGGCATCCAACACTTGAACTATGTCCCTGGTATCTGTCACACTGTTTCTTATGTGGTTATTTTGGAATTAAGTGTCTCTTGGATTCTTTGAGGAAAGGGACTCTGAATAATTACTAACATTTATTGGGCATTCACTATGTTATCCAGCACTGTGATACCCAAGGCAGGCTTGAGAAGTTTGCAACCTGTGCAGTCAACACAGGACCTCACACAACATTAAACATTGGTTTAATGCTCCACTGTCTACTTCCTATTAAAGAGTACCTGCATTTTTCCTCTTGCCCTTTGCATTGCCAGCCCAGAGCTAGCCACTCCTTTTTCCAGGCATTATTCTTTTAGTCTTCACTAAAACCCTATGAGATACATCATGGGAACTCAGCTTTCACAGTTTAGCAAAAGAACAGAGAGGTTAGGTAACTTGCCCAAACTCAAACAGTGAGGAAGTAGTGCCGACAGTACAAATCCTTACTCTTAATTCAAAAGGTCTGTTTCATCCATTTGTTGCCCTCCCTTGCACTACAGCCTTCAGAAGTGCATTAGCATTTAAATAAGTAGTTGAATAAATGAGTGCATGTAAGCAGCACACTTAGTGTAAGCTGAGCAGCTAAGAGAATTATAAGCAAAAATGGTTAAGGTATAGATACCAGTTCTTGCTTCCGTCTACTGAAATGCCTGGCTTGGTTATGTTTATTTAAAGTACAGGCCATGAATTTGAAATTGCCTTTTCTCTTCATCCTTCTCCACTGGGTTTGTCAGAGTTCTGCTGTCACCAAATCCTCAGCTGAGGGTGTGCACAGGCTCCTGAACCTGAGTCTCTATTTTCTCATCTACAAAAGGACATCTAAAACATCTCACAAAAAGAAACAAAGAATATGACCTAGGCCCTGGATGGAACCATAGAGGCAAAAACCCTGAGAGAAAATCTGACCCAAATTTCTAAAGTAGAAGTAAGTCAAGTTACAGTGAAAACTGAGATGCTGAAAGGACACTTCCCAGTCTTTATTGGGGGGGGGGGGGGAGGCGAACTGTGTAATCAGTAGGGGCTATCCAGTGAGTAAACCTGCATCTTCCAAATGTCCCAGCCCTCAATTTATCTGTCCTCAAAAATCATCCCAACTTTGCATTCTAAATTTCTAAAATTCATTCACACCTTCCTGTCCACAGATACAATTCATTCCTTCAACCTGTCTTTATTGAGCATCCACTGTTCTAGATGTCAGAAATCAACAGATAACCTCACCAAGCTCATACCCTGGTTACAGGAACAAGCAAAAAAGGAAGCAAAATAAAGTTCTAAGGGACAAAGAGTGCTGGACACAGCAGCTTTACACAGAGGGTGGTTGCAGGGGTCTCTGTTGAGGTGACCCCAGGACACAACCCAGCCTCTCAAGTCTGTACTATTCAGAATAGCCTGTCTTCCCTACTTGTTTTCTTACAGCCAGCAATTTCCATACAGCAATCAGCCTCTTAGATATGTAAGGGTTTTGTTACACATTTCCACTGCAATCACAGTCGGACTACAAATTCCTTCAGCAAGGCAAATTTTGAGCCCTCACATGAGGGAATGTGTAAGGAAAAATAGCCGCGGTCATGGAGCTTGTGTTTCGGAAAGGGCTGAGGAAAAAAGGTGCCTCATTCAAAGTGTCGGGAAATGGGGACATTGGAGAGCGGGGAGTGATACAGGAACAGAGCTTCAAGGGTGCAACTTTTCAGTCCTCACGTGATCTAGGCCTGCCTGACCAGGTGGTTTTCAGTCACCACTTCCGCCTGCCTGCAGTTCAGCTCCTTACTTGAACTCCTCCTCCTCCCCTGGGCCTCGGCGGGTGGCGTTTCCCTTTTCTAGAACCACTTTCCTCTTCTCTTCACCTACCCGCTCTTCGGTTCTCAATTTCACTTCCTTTGGGAGAGTTATCTTGGCACACTCGGCCATATTCGTTCTTTTTAAGACTTGTGCAGCACACCTACCCCTCAAAATTTAAGCAGGGGTCGCCCTTTGACTTCTGATATCGCGCTTTTGTTCATGATTTCTCACTTTGTGTGAACGCCATGAGGGGCCCGGACGCTTCCGCTTTCTTCGCCGCAAATCAAAGACCGGTCCCACTGGTCCAACTTACTGAGAGCGGGAACTGTCGCGTTTAGTCGGGAAGACAGGACAGGACACAGCGAGGCGCACGGCCAACCGGAAGTGTGGCGTTCTTGTCCGGAAGTCTCGAAAGCGCACTCCCTCGCAAAGGCTGCCGGGAAGCGTGGTTTTCGAGCCGGCGCGACTCTGCCCTCGGAGCGACTGCGCGTGCGCCTGCTGGTCCACCTGGATCGCGAACATGGCCGCGCGGTCGCTGTGGGCGGTCCAGCGGCGGGGGCAGCGCCTCCTGGCCTCCAGTGCCGCGTGGGAGAACAGGTAGGTTTGTTTGTGAGCAGGGTGTTGGGGACGTGAGGACTACATGGACGAGCGAGGAGGCGAATGGGTGAAGCTGGAAGGCGGGGGGCTATTCCGGCCCAGGCGAAGAGAACCCGCCAAGACTTACGGCCTCTAAAACCTGTGTGTTCACATCCCATTTGACAGACGGAAAACTGAGGCCACAGGTGCGCCCCTTTCCCAGGCTGAGGGAGGCGGGGATACCCAAAGTTGTGTCGGGAGAGATGGCCCCGAACGTCGATGCGATCGGGGTTGCGCCTTTCTCTCGCTACCATTTTTCTGCCGGTGAATACGGTTCCCTCCCGCCAGACCCTGGACCAGTCCCTTCCCCTTTATCCTAGCATCACCTCACCTGTTGGTCCATCCTTCAGGGGTTGATGCTCCAGTTGCTGCCTTTATCTGTCAGCAACCACAACTCTAGGTGGTTCTTTCTTAGGATTTCCCGCTTAGTGAATGAAGAAACTGACATTTCCAAAGAATGAATAACCCGAACTGGAAACCTGTCAGGGCTCTAGAACTGATGCTCTGAAGTTGATTACTCTCGCGACAGCTTTCCGGGACACCCATGTCTGGCAAAGGGAACGTAAATGGTGGAGTTAGGGTTAGGGTTGAATTGTCCATTAGGCCGTGGAGACCTGGATGTGTGTGCAGCTGTCATTTGCCCCAGCACCACACCCTGGCAGTGGCATTTGGGATCTGCCATCACTCTCCTGTTGTCTTGTCTTTCCCCATCTGACCTCTGACCATTTTCAAAAGCTTTAAGTTGGTCCTGAGAATAAATTATTTGACCGGCTTCTAATAGGGTAAATGTGGACTCACAAGGCAGAGAGATTTCATCATGTATAATTTGCCCTAGATTTATGAAGACCATATTTTTTTGAAGTAAAAATTTGGGACCAATATATAATGGGGCACCAGGTCGTAATAACTGAGTCCATGGATCTCTTTTAATCCCTTGTTGATAGACTACAAACCAAGACATTAGTTTTCTGTTGGTTTATTCTCCATATAAATGAATACCCATCTCAGAATTAACAGCTTCTTTTTCCAAAAAAAAAAAAAACCTTACAGCTTGTTTAAAAGAAGGCTTAGCATTCTAAGCGTAACTCCAGTTTGATAAGGTCCCTTTACTAGACTTCATTTTTCCATTTCTGAGTGAAGGGTGGAACCAGGACTCTATGTGTGTTTATTTTGAATTCCTGCTTTTGTTCCTGCCTTTCTGGTTCTGCATATCAGCACTTAGTTCCTCTGTGCTGTCTCAGGCCTGGTGCTAGGTACCCTGCTTCTACACAATACCAACTGTGTGATTTTGAGCAAATGATTAACCCTCTTCATGCCACTTTTCTCATCTATAAAACAGAGCTGACAAACTGTTAGATGAGTCCATACTGAAGCAAGTTCTCATATTTAGTAAGAACTTCCCAAGGGTTCATTTGTTGCTATGCCTGAAAACATGTTCCCAATGGACTCAACCTGGGAAACTTGACAGTTTATAAACCTGGGTGGAATTTTGGCTGTTTATAAAGGCAGTTTTTCTGGGCCACCATCAGGGGATGGCTGTACCACTTCAGCACTGCCACCCAGAGAACCGCTGGTGAGGACTGCAGTTCTGAGGACCCTCCTGATGAGCTTGGGCCTTCTCTCACTGAACGGGCCTTAAGGCTGAAAGCTGTGAAACTCGAGAAGGAAGTCCAGGATTTAACAGTGAGTAGATTCTATATTAACCTTTCTTAGCATTTCTGTCTGACTTCCCAGATGTTTTTTAGGTCAGTTTTTAAAGTTTCCTCTAATTGGTCCTCTATCCTTCATTCTCCACTCTTGATAGGCACACTAGGCCAAAAGAAAAAAAAAAAAACTAGTTCAAAAAAATCACTGGCTAAGATCATCTTATTTTTTTGTTTGTTTGTTTCCTGTTGTTGTATTACATCATTTAACTACCTGACTTTTGGGGCCATTTACAGGAGATCCAATTCTTGGCGTGTGTAAGCACTCAGCACATAGTAGATGAGTGAGAAACCAGGAGCCTTCCCAAAGCAAGACCTCCCAGAGTGGGAAGGAAGAAAGCTGGAAAAGAGAAATCCTAAGAGCAATTAAAGGAACCAGGAGTTGTAGAAATGAAAAACACAAGGATTAAAGGTGCCTAAATAACTACCTCCAAATAGATGACACAGGTTGAAAACTGACTCAGTTGTCCTAGACTTTAGTCAATAAAAGAATGTTGAGGTTGGCAGGGATGCCTGAATAGGGAAAAAAAAAAGCTCCAAGTCTTTTTTCTAGAAACATACAACAGTGACATTTATACAGTAAGCAAAAACTTGTTTTCCACTGATAAGCATTTCTTTTCTCATCCTCTTGACTTTGTTTTTGGTGTTCAGATAAGATATCAGAGAGCAGTGGCTGATGGTGAAAATATAAGGAGACGGACCCAGAGATGTGTTGAAGATGCCAAGATATTTGGTAAGAGGTTTGTTCATGATAAAGATGCCTTTCAGTTTAACAATACTTACTGACAGTTCGGCACACTGAGCATAGTAAAAGTGCATCAGTTCCTCCCCTACCCACTGTCCCCATAGGCTGTACTGTGCTTTTTTCTTTTCCCCTTTTTTTAGTGCCTTCAAAATCATTAAAAAACTTTTCCCTAAACACACCACATCTTTTTCCAACTTATTCCAAAGGTATGCATGAAAGTGGTAGTAGAGAGAAAGGAAAAAGTCTGTGATTGCTTGTACTTACACTCTAGTATGAAACATGGACTTGCCATTGTTACACAGGGAATGAAAGTTTGAAGGGCCTTTGGTGGTTGTCCAGTCCCCTGTATCACACTCCTGCCTGTTCTCTGGACTTTATCTGCCTGTTGCATAGAATTTGCTTCCTTCCTGTCCTCTGACGCCAGGATTTTGACGTAGCCTTCTGCTTTTCACTCAGTGCCATGTACCTCATGTTTTAAGGCTCCAGATGTCAACAAAGAACTGGCCTCACATTGTATTCCTAATGTTTTATCTCCATCGCAGTCTCTTGCTTCTGACTTTGACTTCAGGGCTGCAAAAATAACAAGACCTTGTTTAGTCCATTTTTAAATTTCATCTTTAAAAATTCATGGAACTGTATTTTCTCTGCACCTAATCCACGAAAGGTCATGATTTTTGCCTCTTTTCTCACGAGGCCTACTGTATGATCTTTTACTGGAAAAAAAATGCTTCTAAGATACAGGAAATCTTTGTAATAGGCTAATTATGATAACATAAGAAGATTTCTTGATGTATGGGTGGCCTACTTGAAAAGAACTAAGTGGGTAGGTCTGTCAGAAATTGAACTTTGAGTTAACTTCTTTTAGTTTACTGTATATTAACTAAACTCAAAAGAATTTGTCAGTTATACTTTATTAACCTATATAGCAATGTATGTAGCAAAAGATGCCATATAAGTCATGTGCTTAAGTCCTTTCCTCATGGCTAGAGAAGTTAGCCAATCAGATCAGATTGAACACCTCTCTATATGGACAGGAGAACTTAGTCTTCTCCCCACTCCACCGCCAAATTCTGACAACTTTACTGGCTAGAAATGTACTTTCTTTGTGTCCTGACATGTACCATTGAGCCCAGAAGCTTGCTTCTTTCAGAATCCTATTAGAAAGTTACATTCCTATGACTAGCCAACTATATCCTTTCTTCATCTGTATCAGACATTCTTTACTCTTGTGTTTGATTCTAATCAGCATGCCTGTTTCCAAGCCTTTGGCTAGTGTCTCCTACTTTGCAGCTGAGTACTAAGATCCATTAACAATTTATGAATTTATGACTGATGTTGTTAATTGTTAGGAGGATGCACTTTAATAAAGGACTTTGACCATGCCAAAGCTGGTCTCTAGGAAATACTTGCTGGTTTCACTCTTTCCTATCTGTTTCCTCCTCTCCTGAACCAGACCAGACTGAATCATACCTGGATTGTTGCAGTTGACTCTCCTATTTCTCTGTCTCTTCCCACCTCACGTATCAAAACACCAAATTAAATCCCAGCATCCATTCCATGACTCAACTAATTTGTTTCCCCAGTGAATCTATCTTAGCCAGAAGCTAAGGTAGAATTCTTAGCTCTGTGCATCTTTCTCTCCCAACCAAGCCGAAAGTCTGACAGTTGTCTCCTCCATCGTGTCTTTTATTATGTGCCCATGGCCGATGTTCATTTTTACTTCTGGTTGTAGTTAAGGCAGCCACCCAAAGTGGCATGGGGCCTTAACCCTCTTTTCTGGATTAGCGTCACATCAACCAGCCCTTTAGCCCTTGCCCGTCACCATCCTCTCTAAGAGCTTTGATAGTAGACATCTCTGATAATGACATTCCTTATCCTTACTTCCTTAAAAGAAAAACAAGCTGCCAAATTGGAAGTAATGGGATTCTCAGCAAACAAGCTTACTTTTATGACAATTCCTGGAACTGCTTCTCATCTGTGACTATGTGTTACTTTCTTGTTTCTATTTAGCTAGTCCACAAGAATAAGCCTCTATTAACATCCTATATAGCACAGTACATTGTTCCCCTCCCCACCATGAAGTACTGGTATCTTGTCCCTGTTAGAAATATATGCATTACCACAGTGAGATGGAGGGTGTTTGGGAGCTTCACCATTTACATAAAGCTAAAGGTAGAAGCAACAAAAATACACAACTTAAAAATACTTGGTTTGAAAGAGTAAGTTTTTGAGCCTTTTATATATAACTTTATTTCTTGGGTTCTAACCACACAGACTTGTCAAGTAAGTTGGGATGGGATTCGATTGTGTTCACTATACCATGCATATCTGTGGGTACTCCCTGAATTCTGCTGCCAGGGACACAGTGCTTTCCTCCTCACAACATCTGGTTTCTCTGTAGGAATCCAGAGTTTCTGTAAAGACTTGGTAGAGGTGGCAGACATTTTGGAGAAGACAACTGAGTGTATTTCTGAAGAAACAGAGCCTGGGGACCAGACACTTACTCTGGAGAAGGTCATCCAGGGGTTGTCACTTCTAGAAGCAAAGCTGAAAAGTGTGTTTGCCAAGCATGGCCTGGAGAAGATGGCACCCATCGGTGATAAGTACGACCCTCATGAGCATGAACTCATCTGTCATGTGCCAGCTGGTGCTGGGGTGCAGCCTGGCACTGTGGCATTAGTAAGGCAAGATGGCTACAAACTTCATGGCCGCACCATTAGACTTGCCCGGGTAGAAGTGGCAGTGGAGTCTCAGAGAAGACTATAAATGGGCCGTTGAGGAACTGAATGTTCTCCCAGAGTGCAGTCACCTGTTTCCTTATTTATTAAACTAGGTTTGTATTGTACATGAGGTACTTCATGTGATCTGTTTTGGATTTAGTCATATTGGCTTTATTTCTCAGAGTCTGTTGATTTAATGTGACCTGTTTGGTCTCACCAGAAGTCTTGCCATTGGGCATTTGAACAATATGACAAGTGTTCCTATGGCCTTTGTCAAAATATGTTTACGAAAATGGTACTCTGATGACTTTGAATCCAAAATCCTTGTAACTGTATTTTCAGCTAAGCAGTCTTTCCTAATATCCTTGTGACAGAAGTTGTATAGTATCTTGTTTTTGTTTTTGTTTTTGTTTTCTGAAAAGGGAGACCATGTGGGTACTTAGATGAAAAAACTTGATAATCGTAGTTTAGATCATTTGGGTTGATTTTTATACATATAAGATTTTTAGTTCCTTGGCTTTTTTATTGTATTATTTTCCTTCAGTCATTATCTTTTATCCCCGTAGTTCCTGCCAGGTATATTACATGTTCACATCATTTTCCCATCCCCACTCCTTTCTGACTCTCACTTGGAAGGGCTAAAGTCCCAGGCAGATACGGAAAGAAGGGATCATGGAAGAAATTTAAAACCTAGGATCCTTTCAAGCAAAGATGGCCAGGAAACTTTGTGCTTCATTTGTTCAGAGTTATCTTCAAATTATTTTGAGCCACCCGAGATATGTTATCCAAGAACACTGAGGTAGCACAAATAAGTAATTACCCAGAAGGGATCTGCATAGGCAGTTCACCAACAAGTTCTTTCTCCAGCCTTGACTCCATTGTCGCTTTGTCATATCTGCCTTCTGCTCCTGTATGAGATTATGGGAAAAGGGAACAGGATCAAAATGTTGGGCTTCCACAGCTTGTCATTTAGTGATGCTGAATCTTTATTTGGTACTCACACATGACTACCTCTCTTACATGAACAAGCTTTATTTTCTAGCTTTAGTAGCTTAAGTCACATTTATGTAAGCACCTAGCTCTCTTAAGTCCTGCCTGCATGTAGATGTGTTCTATAAAAGATTTGTCTAATAAATGCACCATCAGTCAGACTAGAAAGGTTAATCCTGGTTGTTTAATAGAATAGGCCTCAAAGATCTAATCTCATACTTTCTGCTTCCAAAATATATTGGTATTTTTAGGACTGGCTCTGAAAGGGAAAAAAAAATCTAAAGTAATGATAAAATTTCAGTGAGAACTTAAATAAGAAGCTATATTAATATCAATCATTTAATATAAATGAAATCCCAAATATGTCCCTAATAAGTAATCAGTTGTTAAATGTCCAGGTGGCAAAGTTTTAATTTTAAGTTAGTTAACCTATAATATAGATTGACTTCTGTTGGAAAGTGAAAAATGGCACTCTTCCATGCTTCTGCTTCTTTGGCTAGGATATTAATTAAAATTACATAAGGCTAACAGAAGAAAAATCCATATTTAAATAACTTACATGTACACACAAAATCAGCCTTGAAGAAGTATTACGTAGTTGAAACTCACAGCATTTTAAGATACAGAAAAGAACAGGGGCCCAAGCATGGTGATGAGGGGAGAAAATGAATGCAGAAAATTACCCAGTTAAAGCCTCAAGTAATTTGGAGCAACCTTCTTCCTATTAGTTATTTATGCTAATTTAGATATGCTAATATAAATTTCCTTTTTAGATATATCCAGTTTTCATCAGAATAATTAGCTTTAAATATGCTTAAAGTATATTTGGGGATGCCATATTCTGTTCTCATTTAGCAATCTGATTTGGGGATGGTGTGTCCTGAACCCCTCTGGGCTCTTAGACATTACAACTCTTAGCTACTACATTAGACCTGTATGAATAAGGCCATGCCCCATGATCCCTACCATCTCCATATTTAGATGCACTTAAACAATCTAAAGACTGGTGGTAAGATTTTAATACCAGAACCTCCGTGCATATTATAATTTGAATGTATAATCATTTCACAGCAAGAATTTTTTTTTCTTCCTTTCCCATGAGATTGATAGATGGTGACAATTGGAAAAAGAACCCATTATAAATAACCATGTGTGTTTTTTGAATACTAGCTATCATTATCAGTGAGTTAGAATAGTCATAATTTTAGATATGGAATGTTCTGATTACTTAAAGCATTTTCTTTTATTCTGTCCCACCTTTTATTTTTGCAAGTGAATTAGAAATCATCTTAGGTTCTTCTATCATGCAGTACTTTTGCAGGCTTAAAAGTGTAGATTTATAATTTGGGAGTAGGGGCTGGGGTTGTGGTTCAGCGCTAATGCTAGTATCCCACATAGGTGGCTGATTTGTGTCCCAGCTACTCCACTTCCATCCAGCTCCTTTGCTGGTGGCCTGGGAAAAGCAGCAAAAGATGGCCCCGGCACTGGGCTTCCTCTGACCTATGTGGGAGATCTCTCTCTGTCCCTCCTTCTTAGTAACTGATTTTCAATTGAATAAATATTAGGAAAGAAAGAACCAGAGGATGAAGCTACAAAAGGATATGGACTTGAAGGGTTTGGGGAAGCCAGAGCAGCATAATAGAGCATAGGCTTGGTAGGCATGTACTTGAACCTAAATCCCAGCTCACTCACCTGTGTGACTTTGGAACCAGACATTCACTCTTCTGAACCTGTTTCCTTATTTGTAAAATGCTATAATTCTCTCATGATATCGTGAGGGGTAAGTGAAACGTGTTAGTTGCCTACTACAGTAGGCCCTCATATTTATTTTATTTTTTTATTAATCACATTATGCTATGTTCTCATAGCTGCCTAAAATCTAGGAAAAGGGGAAGACTGGCTAAATGATTTTTTTTTAAGTATAAGCTAATCATTTACAGTGATTTCCTTTTTTTCTTTTTCTTTCCAGTTTCTAGTTGGTTAGTTTTGTTTTTAATAGACCACCACAAGAAACACACATTTTTAGCTTGAACAAAAAAATGTACCAATGCTCATAATTACTTTGAGATGGCAAAATGAGAAGGCAGTAGCTTGCGGATGGTGTGTGAGGCAGCTGTGGCTGACCTGGGAGGGATGTTGGTATTGTAGTACTTAGATTCTGCATACTTTTACTGACTTTCCTTAACGCCATAAAGGAATCAGACAGTTTGAAATAGATACAGGTTATTTGGTGGGCTCACTCATGATGTAAATGAAATGCAATATTCAAAAATAACTTTAATAAAACCTGAATTGGAAAAACTGCAGTCCAGTATTGAGTCCTTTTTCAACCTCATTCATATTGATTATTGCTATGCTATGGGTACTTCATGGACTGCTGACCAGCTTCCCATACTCTTAAAAGCCTTGGCTGTTTTTCTCCGTCCTTGACTCCCCTCTCTGATTCCTGAGAACTTCTTAAATCTGGACTCTTCTCAGGCATTGCCTGTTTTGTTGGATTTGCTTTTTGATTCCAGTTGTCTTATCTATGTTGACTACTAAATGCTGCTAACACTCTTGATCATCTCCTAACCAGATTAGTGACATGTCGCCTTGGTCTGACCTTTAACTTCCACATGTCTTTCCAAGGTTGTGATGGGTTTTGTCTGCCTCTGCATTTTGAATGATTTCCTGAGTAACCTTTTGGAGCCAGCCTATTCTAAGATTTAGCATTGCGTGTCCATGGTTCTTCCAGTGCTATCTACACAACCTGGTTCTATAACCCATTGTTTAGCAGATTCCCGATTTTTGTTAGTATATTCTCATTCTTATCCCCTGAGATGTTGTGCACGTCTGATTCTTTGCAGTGATGTTAAACCAGTTCCAGAATTCCTTGACTCTTTATTTGGGAAATAAGGGCCTATGTCCATTTTTCTTGCCTATCCTTGAGCTTTTTTAAAAAGATTTTATACACACACACGCGCATACACACATATATGCATATAAGGTCAGAGAGGAAGATCTTCCATTTGCTGTTTCACTCTCCCACGTGACCGTGACAGCCAGAGCTGAACCAATCTGAAGCCAGGAGTTTCCTCTGGATCTCCCATGTGGGTGCAGGGTCCCAAAGCTTTGGACCATCCTCGACTGCTTTTCCAAGCCACAAGCAGGGAGCTGGGTGGGAAGTGGAATAGCCAGGACATGAACTGACACCTGTGTGGGATGCCAGCACATGCAAGGCAGAGATGTAGCCACTAGACTACCGGGCCCTGTTGAGATTTGTTCCATTGCTTGTCTGATAGGATACAATGGAAGTGACACTGCAGTTTTCTAAAATCAGAGCCATTAAAGCTGGCAGCCCCGCTTTGTATCTTTGGACTTCATCATTACCTGAAGCGCAAGCTGAAGTGGTCTGTTGTAGAACAGACAGCCCTGGTTTGAGCTTTCAGCTGAGTCAGGACGTCCTCCCAGCCAGTGAGTCTCCTTGAAGGGACCCTGCCTCCCTCAGTGGAACAGCTCTGGATAGACTAGAGGGACCCCGGCCCCTGGGCAAAATAATAGTTACCTGGAGGCCCTAAGTTCTGGAATGGCTTGGTTTTTTGTTTGTTTGTTTGTTTTATTGGAAAGGCGGATATACAGAGAGGAAGATCTTCCGTCCGATGATTCACTCCCTAAGTGAGCGCAATGGCCGATGCTATGCCAATCCAAAGCCAGGAGCCTCTTCCGGGTCTCCCACGCAGGTGCAGGGTCCCAAAACCTTGGGCCGTTCTCAACTGCTTTCCCGGGCGACAGGCAGGGAGCTGGAAGGGAAGTGGAGCTGCCGGGATAGAACCGGCGCCCATATGGGATCCCGGGCATGCAAGGCGAGGACCTTTAACCACTTGCGCCACCGCACCGGGCCCTGGAATGGTTTGTTACACAATGACAGATGATGGGTACAGTCTCTCAACCTCATTCATAGTCTTGGCAAATGTCATGCACCTCTGCCACAGGAAGTGTGCCTCCACACCTCTCCTCCCTTGAGCTGTTTTAGACTTGCTTTATAGCCTTGAGCTGCTCACACCACATCAACAGACTGCCTGGTTTGGAAGGGCTTCCTAACGGAAAAACAGCTCTCGGTGAAGAGTTAGAAAAGATGGATCTTGGGCCCGGCAGCATGACCTAGCGGCTAAAAGTCCTCGCCTTGAACGCCCCAGGATCCCATATGGGCGCTGGTCCTAATCCTGGAAGCTCCACTTCCTATCCAGCTCCCTGCTTGTGGTCTGGGAAAGCAGTTGAGGACGGCCTAATGCTTTGGGACCCTGCATTCGCGTGTGGGATACCCGGAAGAATTTCCTGGCTCCTGGCTTTGGATTGGCATAGCATCGGCCATTGCGCTCACTTGGGAAGTGAATCATCGGACGGAAGATCTTCCTCTCTATCCTCCTCTCTGTATATCTGACTTTGTAATGAAAATAATAATAAATAAATCTTTTTTTAAAAAAGAAAGAAGGGCCCGGCGGCGTGGCCTAGTGGCTAAAAGTCCTCGCCTTGAACGCGCTGGGATCCCATATGGACCCCGGTTCTAATCCCAGCAGCTCCACTTCCTTCCAGCTCCCTGCTTGTAGCCTGGGAAAGCAGTCAAGGACGGCCCAATGCTTTGGAACCCTGCATTCGTGTGTGGGATACCCAGAAGAAGTTCCTGGCTCCTGGCTTTGGATTGGCATAGCATCGGCCATTGCGCTCACTTGGGAAGTGAATCATCGGACGGAAGATCTTCCTCTCTGTATGTCTGACTTTCCAATAAATCAATAAATCTTAAAAAAAAAAAAGATGGATCTTAAATATGACATCTCCCACAAGAACTAGGTTAAGTCAACATATATGAAAACTTTGCATTATTAAATAAGCATTTGAAAAGGACAAGAGAGAATTATCTTGAAAATAAAAGATTTCTCACTGTGACATAAATATTGCCAAGAATATAGGTGTTTTTTTTTATTGTGAAAAGTTGATCTACCTCATCACGAGTAGTAATCCATGTTGGCCCTATAAAGACTCAAAGCTGACCTAGAACCCCAGCCATAAACTCTTCCCTTCCATTTCTTATTTTAGCCATAATCCTACTGAATAAATACGACTTTTATTTACTTATTCTGAAACTGGTCCTCTGCCAAAGGAAATCTGTGTTTCACGGCGTTGTAAACTAGACACAGAACTCCCGTTTTTTTAGAGAATGAAAATAGGAACTTAGACCTTCTTTTCTCCTTTCTGAAAATAGCGTTAACTGAAACCTTTCCTTTTTCCTTTTTTAAGAGGCAGGAGGCAGAGGCATAAACTGTATAAATAGCAGTATCGACAGCATGCGAGCTCCCTTCAGCATAAGCAAAGAGCAGCGCATAGCCACCCTAGCCGCAAGCTTGGTCAGCAATTTCAAGCATGTGCAGACACTGCAAAATGGTCTCACATCAGGCTAGCTCACGTGATGGTCACAACCACCCGGGAAAGAACAGCATGCTTTGTTCTGTCTGCTTTTATCAAAGTGGAAACAGAGAAGGCGCATTATAGAGCTTATAACTGAGAAGTTATTCTTGAATTCCTTCTCTTCCATCCTTTAACCGCCTCGGGGTCCTGGTCCTGATGCTGAGCATCCGAGGCACACACACCTGCTCCCCAACTGGGATGGGCCAGCCAATGAGGAACCCATATTCAGGAGGCGGATCGGAGAGAAAGCTGCCAATGAGAGAGCCTGGCCGAGTCTGATGTAGCTAATGAGGGCCTCGTCCTGGAGAAGGACGGCCTTTGAGCCAATGAGAGTCTAGAACTAAAGAGGCTGGAAGGCAGAACGACCAGTGGGGCGCTGGGGCGGGCAGTGAGCCGAACGCCAACCCGCGAGCGGCCGTATCTCCGCGCGCTGCCCCGGTCGCCGCCCGCCATGGCCCGTGCTGTCCCTCTCCTCGCCACGCTAGCCATGCTGGCCGTGCTGCTCGCCGCCACCGCTGCAGGCGGAGACGCCCCGCCCGGCAAAATCGGTGCGGGAAGGATGCGTTGGGTTGGGGGCTGAGTCGCGGAGGGCTGGGTGGGAAATGGTTCGCGGCTGGTTGGGGTAGAGGCGAACTGCTGGGTGAAGGGGAGGAACGAGGTAGGGGAGAGGCAGGGGATTGGGCGAGGGAGAGAACAGACCTCATAGGTATGGGATGGAATAGAAGGGTGACATGGGTGTGTGGACTGGGCCACCTGAGATGGAAAAGAGGCCTGGACGGGACTGACTGCAGAGCGCCTCCCCTGAGGGCTAGTGTAAACATAGGCATCTGCCTGTGACCCGGTCCCATTCTGGATGTCCGCATGACAGAGGACAGGGCTGGGCATGGCCTTCACAGATCTGTGGGACAGACTGAAAAAAAGACACCTCCCGATCTCCGGCACTCTGCATGTGTATTGGTCACTTGGGCAGGCTCCCTAGAAGTCACTCCTTAGCTACACTGCCCCAGGAGGAAAGGAGATAGTCTTCGGTCTTTGAGGACAAATACCACTGGGTGATCCTTAAGCAGATTTGTTGAATGACCTACTGGGGAACTCTGCATAGCAGTCACTGTTGTTCATAATCAGTGTGGTTTATTTGATGTTTAATTGGGAATGTTTTCAAAGGTACAGCAAAGTTAGAGAATGCTACAGTGATCATCTGTGCACCCACCTTCTAGATTCTGTCATTCACCCCTATAGTACTTGCTTTCCTGCCCTCAGTACACATCCTGCTTGCCACCCATGCATCCATCATCCATTCTGATGCATTTCAAAATAATTCAGACAGACCTAAATGCATGCATGATTGTCACTGACAATTTCATACCTGTCTACAGTTCCTGTGAGGTTTTTTTTCTCTCTTTAAAAAAATGTTTTATTTATGTATCAGTGAGATCTTTCATCCTTTGGTTCACTTCCCCCAATACCCACAATAGCTAAGACTGCACCAGGTAAAAGCCAGGAGGCAGAAGTCTATCTGGGTGCTTAAGCCATCATGTGCTGCCTCCCAGGAAACTGGACTGGAAAAAGTAGCTGGAATGCAAAGCAGCCACTCAGATATGGGATATGGGCCACTCAGACAGCAACTTAAGCCACTGTGACTGCCCCCAATTTTCCTCTTGTAATTACCACCTTAACTAGACATGACTTGTCTGGATTTTCAGGTCCCTCCCACATAAAAGGCACAAAGCAGGGATGTGTCCCTCCCACATAAAAGGCACAAAGCAGGGATGTGTAGAAGGACAGAGTCCCCCATCCCACATGCCTGCACCCCAGTCAGCAGGAGTGTTTTGGTCTGTCTCAAGGAAGCACCACAGACTCAAGGGGATCAGAGCTGTGCTAAATTTTCTTATAATCCAAAACCACAGCCCAGGCCTGAAAGGGTCACAACAGACTGAAGCATGCCAGAAATCACCTTGGCCATTAGTGTGGGGCTTTTGGAGGAAAGAGAGAATCCCAAAGACTGGCATGGCTGGTAAAGGGTTCGAGCCAGGCTCCGACAGATGGGGAAGACTGAGGCCAAGGGGCCAGGCAATAGGACATTTCCCCCTGGTGAGAAGGGAGGGGCAAGGGCCCCCCCCGGGGCGGGGGGGGAGAACTGTTCTGGTGACATGGAGGTTGCTTTCCACCTTACTCTTAAGTCTTCCAGGACAAGGCCACACTTGCGCTTTAGCTTTCCTGACTCTTGGACTGAAGCCTCTGCCACTGTTAGCATTTGGATCCTACCCATGATGAGAACGAGGGCCTTCCTGTTAGGATGGACAAATTCTCAGGGCAAATCTGTTCGTTTGTTTCTCAAAGCAAATCTGGATCTCTTAGGCCCACCAGGCAGTTCCCTCACTGCCCCACCCTGCTAGTGCTCCTCTCTCCTGCTAGCAAATCCCCTTGCCCTTCAGGGTCCTGCGGAGCCTGTGTCCCTACCCTCTCTGGGGCAGAACGCGTTCTTCCTCCCAGGAACTCTGGGTCCTGCTGTGCTGCAACAGAGGTGTTTATGTTGTTCTGTTCATGGAAGCCCTGTGTGATTGTTCTGTATGCGCCAGCACATCTTCCCCTAACATCAAGAACGGACACTAGTCATGAGCTGGTTCACGGTGAAGTGATGCCCTCTGCCTCTCTGTAGCCCTTGGGAAGCTTCAAAGCCTTCGGCTTCTCTTGGCAAATGCATCATGATTAACTCTACAAAGTAAGGGCAGGAGGCTATAGGTGGTTTATAGAAAAAGTTGAAGGGTGTTTTTTGGTGGAAATGGCTCTAAATACTGAGGGGGTGGTTTGTTTATGCACCATACAAAAAATACTCCGTGAACTCTGCTACCTGTCTGCTGCCAGCAACCCTGCTCTCCTTCTTTCAGTCCTAAGACAAGCCACTTTAATACAGGGCAGCAAAGGCTGGGCCACAGGTTGGCCAAGTGTGCTTATGGGAACATGCGGAAGGGACACCTGACTCATCTCAGGTCACTCGGTCAAGCTGAGTTAAAAATGACCTACAAGGCAAACACTGAAGTCAGTGAGCCACAGTGACAGCATGCATGCCTGGCAGAGCAGCTCCACAGAGACCCAGCAGGAGAGGGAACAAGGGCCTGCGCTCCACTCAAAAGACCAGGTCATCCAGAACTGTGTGTAGTCTTCAGGGTTTGCCTGACGCTTGTTCACAGAGCTGCTGGTCTTAGCATACAGTGTGGGTCCAGTGGGGACAGACAGCAGGCACCAGACTTATCTCACTGTCTTATGGGATGGAGTTGCAGACCGTTAGGAGAGAGGAATGTGGCATTTCCAGTACTTGGTGGGCAGGCAATGGAAATAGGGTGGTGTCTGGGTCAGTGGCTGCAGTGAGACTGAATGTTTCATCTCCATCTAGATGGTAGTTCCTGGAAATACTTCCCAGCCCTGATCTGTGAGGCCTTCTTAGCAGTGACTGAGAAAAGAATACTGGCAGGGGATGGGCACAGTGGGGGTCAGGGAGCGGGGCAGAAGCCAAGTTTGCAAAGAGCAAGCAAGGTCAGAGATGTAGTAAAGACAGTGAATGGCAAGACCCAAGGAAACCTCAACAATTTAGAACTTGGGCAAAAGAGTCCAAACTGGAATCCACTGCCTTACAGAGAATGAGCAGTATGTCATGGAGTGTGTTTGGTAAGCACAGACAGCAGTGATTTAGGTGGAAGGTGGTAGGTTGGACTTAGACCATGGGTTGCCAGTGTTTTTCATAAGTGACCAGAGAAAAGAAATGTTAGGCATTAAGAGCTATGTCCAGTTACAACTGTACAGTTCTGCCTAGCACAAAAGTAGTCATAGAAAGTAAGGAAAAGAGTGGGATCGAGTTCCATACCATTGGCAAGAGCAGGCATTTTCCTGGAATTGGCCTGCAAGGCTGCAGCTTACTGACCCCTGGTTTAAGGAATGGTTTCCCAATATTGACCTACCTAACAGAAGTGGTCAGTAGCCACTGTCAACAAATCATAGTAAAATTAGAACAGTAGGGACATAGTAATGAGCTTTTGTATAGAATGGAATTGACTCCCTTTAAATGGCCATCCTGAATTGTGCAGTTCTTGCCTGCTCTTGCTGCTCCCATGTCCTTTGTAAAATGAGGGATAGGGAATTGGCATGTCTCAGCTTGACCTTTGCGTAACTTGGTCTGCCAATTTCCTTTTTGGAAAGTCACAAGCCTATGAAACCAAGTACCTGGGAGCTCCAGTGCAGGAGGATGTGAAGGTGCAGTCTGCATCTCACTCCCATGCCCTGTCTCTCTCCTTCCCACATCCTCCCATGCCTGCTGACAGCGGTGGTTGGGGCTGGGATCGGGGGCTCTGCCGTGGCCCATTTCCTCCAGCAGCACTTTGGACCCCGGGTGCAGATCGACGTGTATGAGAAAGGCACCGTGGGTGGCCGCCTGGCCACCATCTCAGTGAACAAGCAGTACTACGAGAGCGGGGCCGCCTCCTTCCACTCCCTCAGCCTGCACATGCAGGACTTCGTCAAGCTGCTGGGTGAGTTCAGAGTCCTGCGACCAACAGCAATGGTTCCCGGGCCCTTCTCCGATTGCCCAGATCATTGAGGCCAGAAGGTCATGGAGCCCTATTTCCTCACTTACAGATGGAGCAGCTGATACCAGAGAGGGGAAGAAACTTGCCTGAGGTTACAGTGAGTTGGTTGCAGAACTGGGATTAGAACTCATGTTTAACTCCCAGGCCAGTTTCTTTCCCCTCCCATTTGCTGCCTCTCAAAAATTGTGATCCTATCAGCATCCACAAGCTGGGGCTTGCCAGCCACTGTCACCCTTCTAGGAGTGGGCATCACCTCTGTCCTCCCTATCAACCTGCAAGTGGTGCATGAGACCTCCTCCTAAGAAAACCAAGGCTTCAAAAACTTCACATTCCTTGGCTAATGTCCTGCAGCTAATAAGTGAGGGAACTGGGCCTCAGATCCAGTTGGCCCTGATCAGAACTGCCAATACACAATTTTAGAGGCAAAAACCTCACATCTCAGCAGGAGCCCTCACAGCTGATCTTGCAGGTGTGCAAACTGGCGCACGTCTAGGTTTATCCTTATATCACTGTCTGTCATCACCAAAACTTCAAAATATCCTGTCTGCACCACCAACTCCCCTTCCCCATCCCCAGTCTTTGGACCTGAGCTTAAATAAGTTAACATGTAAGGAAATAGGAAGTCCTTTATGCCTGGGTACAGAGCAGTCTCTAAGACACAGGCGGCAGTAAAAGCACGGAACCATGAATACAGTAGCCGAGTGTTCGCAGTCATGAGTCAGCTGCTCTCTAAGTTGCAACACTTTGGGAGGCTGGAAGCAGCTGTCATTTCCCAGGAAACCTGTACCCAGGGCCCCACCTGAGAGCAAGCCCTATAGTACCATCAGCCCCTGGACATTCTGAGCTAGCACCTGAATTCCACTCTTAAGAGGCAAGCAGATTCCTGTGGGGAAATGTGTAGAATCGTATTGCCTAGGAATGCCAAATGTCTCCTGCAGAGCATTGATGAGCAAACCCTTCCTGAGGACACTCCATTGGCATCCTGAATCTAGGCACTGTCGGGTCTCCTGGGCACCTTTTGAAGGGAATCTGAGGGGCTCCTGTCTCTGCAGGGCTAAGGCACCGGCGCGAGGTGGTGGGCAGGAGTGCCATCTTCGGTGGAGAGCACTTCGTGCTGGAGGAGACTGACTGGTACCTGCTAAACCTGCTCCGCCTCTGGTGGCGCTACGGCATCAGCTTCCTGAGACTGCAGATGTGGGTGGAGGAGGTCATGGAGAAGTTCATGAGGTGATTGAGAGGAGGCAGTTTCCAGGATGGGAGAGGAGGAGGGTGTGAGGGTGTGGGAAGGAACCTGCCTGGCTATAAATTGTAAAACAGGTCCTTGGTGTACATAATCCCATGCAGCTCCAAGTGAGCCCCCTGTGTTGAGGACTAGCCTTGCCTAGGGCAATAGTGGCTTCTCTGGTGTTATCACATTAGCATGCATCCTCCTGCAATCCACCAAGCTGCTAAAAACATGGGTTGCCAACTCAGTCACCTCCAAGGCCCAGAGTGGGATGTAAATAAATGCAGGTGGAAGAAAACAGGGTGCAGTGGGGAGTGGCCTGAAGAGCAAGAATCAGTCTAAAGGAGGCAGCCAGCATTCAGCTGCAGCCCAGCGCAGACTAGGACTCCAACACTTGGCTTTCTGTACACCTCTGTCCAGTATCCCATTGAAAAGCACACAGAACATGTTTGCAGAGCCCCAGACTAGGTACCATCCCAAGGCAGCCAGTGTGAAAGACTCAGCAGGTGGTTCTAGTCCTTGCTGTTGCCTGAGGTTGGCTCGGTGGGAAGACAGACAAGATGTGAGCTCAAGGGTGAGCAAGAGACCGCTCAGACAAGTCAAGGCAGAGGGGAAGACAGTCTAGGCTAGAAAAGAGGGTGACAGTGTTGGCATTAAATGACTGTCATCAGGGTCAGTGTGGCCCTATGAGGTACAGCAGAACCAGAGCTGTCAGAGAAAGAGATGTATCAGTGAGGCTGGGCCACGGCACACTGCCCAGCAGTCATGACTAGGTAAAGAGGGCTGTGGACTATGAGCTCAGGCAGAGAATGGCTAAGAAAGGTAGCACTGTTGTCTTGGCAGAGCTGTGGGGTGAAGCCATGTCCAGGGGATTTCTAACCTACTGGACTTAACCCCGTGCTGTCCAGAGGCTAGGCCAAAGGGAGCATAACTGGCCTCCTCTCCACCTGTCTAGGTGGAAGAGGTGGTGGGTCCTGGAGGGCCTCCTGAGTGCAAGCACCTGGTAGGGGCTGTTAGGCCCAAAGCCGTCTTGCACAGGACTCCAGCTCTGTGTATTTCCCAGGATCTATAAGTACCAGGCACATGGCTATGCCTTTTCGGGCGTGGAAGAGCTGCTCTACTCACTTGGGGAGTACGCTTTCATCAACATGACCCAACATTCCGTGGCTGAGTCTCTGCTCCAAGTGGGTGTCACACAGCGCTTTATCGATGATGTCGTCTCTGCCGTCCTGCGGGCCAGCTACGGCCAGTCAGCAACGATGCCAGCTTTTGCAGGTGAGCATTTGGCCCTCAACCTGCCCTCTGTCCCACCCCTGCCATGCTGACCAGAATGGCCAGGGTACCCTCAAAATCTCAGGTTCATCCAGCTCCTTACTGTTTTCCCTTATCTGGATGCCCCATTCTCATTGGATGCTGGCACTGCTCCCCCAAGCTGGCAAGAGATGGTATTCAGTGAAAGCCAAGCTTGGATCAAAGGGTCAGTGTGTTTCTACCACTCCTGGTTGTCTGATGGTCCCTTGACAGATGTCAGTGTAAAGTTGAGATGGTGCTTTGCAGTCTGCTCTATAGTTTCAAAAACTGCTGTGCTTGGGTCACTGAGCCCCTGGCTACTCCCCTGTGACAGAGCAGCTAATCTTCTCAGCTCCCTACTGACATGGGTGGTGTGCATCGCCCACCATCCTCCAGGACTGCCCTGAGAGTCATGGGAGAACATGGGATGTCCCCAGGCAGGAGTCTCAGCTTCTCTTGTTCACAGATGCATTCCAAACCCCAAGAACAGCATCTACTCACTTAGCACATGCTTGTTGAATAAATAAATGAAAAGGTTTGAAAATTGTGAACACCCTTAGTACATGCAAGATGTTTTCCTTCTGGTTCTTTTTTTAAAGATTTACTTATTTTTATTGGAAAGTCAAATTTACAGAGAGACAGAAAGCAGAGACAGAAAGATCTTCCATTCGCTGGTTCACTCCCCAGGTGGTCACAATGGCCAAAGCTGCACCGATCTGAAGCCAAGAGCTTCTTCCAGATCTCCCATGTGCGTGCAGGATCCCAAGGCATTGGGCCATCCTTGACTGCTTTCCCAGGCCACAAGCAGGAAGCTGGAAGGGAAGTGGAGCAGCCAGGATATGAACTGGCGCCCATATGGGATCACAGCACATGTAAGGCGAGGACTTTAGATACTAGGTTACCATACTGGGCCGTACTTGAAAGTCAGAAAAAAACAAGACAGAGATTCCATCTGCTGGTTTACTCCCCAGATGGCTGCAATGGCCAGAGCTGGGTTAGCCTAAAATTGGGAGCCAGGAGCTTCTAGGCCTCCCATGTAGATGCATGGTCCCAAGGCCTCCTCCATTGCTTTCCCAGGCCATCATCAGGAAGCTGGGTCAGAAGTGGAGCAACCAGTACTCGAACCAGCACCCATATGGGATGCAGGCACTGCAGGTGGAAGATTAGCCTGATATGCCACTGCACTGGCCCCTCCTCTTCTGGTTCTTGACTCTAGACTCCTTCCCAATCTTAAGGGTCTGCCTCAGTATCCCCTTGTGTGCCTTTTCTACTCACTTCTCCTGTATCTTGTTGGCATTTTTTGTGTGAAGATGCCATTTACACAGCCTACAGTTCACCTCTTTAAAGTATTCTCTTCAATGGTTTTAGTGTTTTTGTCTTCATAGAGTTGTATAAACATCATCACAATTTTAAGACACATCCATCACCCCAAAAAAGAAACCCCATAGCTGTACCCCAGCCTTCCAGCCTTAAACAATCACAGGTCTACTTCCTGTGTCCAAGGATTTACCCATGCTGGGCTTCTACAGAAGCAGCAGCCCACAGCCTGGAGTCTTTGGGAACTGGCTTCTCTCCCACCAAGCTCAACACTCTCAGTACATAGTGTCACTGACTTTCAGTCACCTTTCTGTGCAGGCTGTCTCCCTATGTCGGGTTGGGAGACGCAGGGAGAATACTGCTGCACTCTCCAGCCCCTGCCCGATGGTCCTGAGAACTCACAGTCACCTCTCCTGTTTGTCCAGGAGCCATGGCATTAGCAGGGGCTCAAGGCAGCCTGTGGTCTGTGGAAGGAGGCAACAAGCTGGTTTGTTCTGGTTTACTGAAGCTCACCAAGGCCAAGGTGATCCACGCCACAGTAACTTCTGTGACCCTGCACAGTACAGGTGAGTGGATGGAGCAAAATGTATGACCATACTTAGTCAGGCTCTCTCCTGGTCTGTAAAGCAATGGAAGCTCCCGCCCTTTTTAGTGACAGTAGAGGGCGCTATTGTCCTCTGATGTCACTACATATCAGTATAAGAACACTTACTTGTCTTCAGTGGAGACTGAATCATTAGCCAGTGAGGACTTAGAACCACAGCCCTTCCTGGACTCCCTGATGGGCAGAAGCAGAGGAAGAATGTGGTCCAGTTCATTGCTCACTCTTCATGGACAGACCATGAAGAGTGCCATCCAGACAACCTAGTGGCACTCTTAGTGTCAGGATCTCATTGCACTCCCAAAACTAGGTCCTGGATGGAAGATGAGATGAAAGCAAAAGAATAAGTTGACTTTTGTGCGCTCTTCTCTCTCCTTCTAGAAGGAAGAGCCCTGTACCAGGTGGGGTATGAGAATGAGATGGGCAGTGGCTCTGACTTCTATGACATTGTGGTCATCGCAACGCCCCTGCACCTGGACAACAGTAGCAGCAACTTCACCTTTGAGGGCTTCACCCCACCCATTGATGACATTCAAGGATCATACCAGTCCTCCGTTGTCTCCTTGGTCCATGGCTACCTCAACTCTTCCTACTTTGGCTTCCCTGACCCTAAGCTTTTCCCCTTTGCCAATATCCTTACCACAGATTTCCCTAACTTCTTCTGCACCCTGGACAACATCTGTCCTGTCAACATTTCCACCAGCTTCCGGCGGAAGCAGCCTCAGGAAGCAGCCGTCTGGCGAGTGCAGTCTCCCAAGCCCCTCTTTCGGACCCAACTGAAGACTCTCTTCCGTTCCTATTACTCAGTGCAGACAGCCGAATGGCAGGCCCACCCCCTGTACGGCTCCCGCACCACCCTCCCAAGGTTCGCACTCCACGACCAACTCTTCTACCTCAACGCGTTGGAATGGGCAGCCAGCTCTGTGGAAGCCATGGCTGTAGCTGCCAAGAACGTGGCCTTGCTGGCTTACAACCGCTGGTACCGGGACCTGGACAAGATTGATCAAAGGGATTTGATGCACAAGGTCAAGACTGAACTGTGAGGGCCCCAGGCAGAGCCTGAGAACTTAACCCCACCCCTGAAAACAGTTCCCACCCCACATCAGCCTGGGGTTCACCAAGCCATGACTGCCCTCTGCCACCCAGTGTGGGTCTAGGTGACCATGGGCTGTCTGCCTATCTGTGCTATGGATTCTCACAACAGATGTGTTTCTCTTTAAAGGAGGAGAATCAGAAAAGGGACGAAAACTTAAGCCAGTATATTTGTTTTATTTATTTTAAGAGGAAATGAAAAATCCACTTTCTCAGGCTGCTTGTGACTTGGTTTCTAACTAGGAACTTTGATGGCAACTGGAAGGACTATAAGGCAGGGACATTGAGACTGTTTTCCACTCCCTGTTCCCATCTGGACAGCTGTTGAGGCATCTACCAAGATATGCAACCAGATGGCTACAAAGGAAAGGGAAGTAAGAAAACCTAAGAAATTATCTTAGTCCTTTTTTACTGTAGGTTGTCTAGCTGTAAGACACTTAGTTCAGAACCTACTTAATGCCTTCTTCAAATCTCTCAACAACACTGCATAGCAGTAGACTTGACTGAGAGGATCTAAGGAAGAGATGTTTGCCCCTAAGGAGCCCTCAGTATTGCTCCAAGCTACCTGGAAACCAGTGGGAAGAGGGAAATTGTGCTTGGCACCCAGAGGAATTGCCCATCCTGGTCCTCATGGAGGGGTTGAGGGTGGATCTGCTTTGCAAAGAAGACAAGTCCCCAGATGATGGACAGCAGTCATCTCCCAACCCCACCCAGCGTACACCCTGCAGAGTGGGGAAAGAAGACAAGGTGTTGGGGTGGAATTCCTCAAAGGTCAACCTGGTACCTGCTCTGACACTAGCTTGGAAGGAGAGGAGGATTACACTCTGCTTTTTCTATAAATCTTTAAAATACATAATTTTAGAAAAGGAGTTTCAAGTCCTTTTCATTCCTTTCATGCCTGTTCCTTTCTGTAAAGAGGGAGAATGAAGGACTAGAGCCTCGGGCACCCAGCAGACGTGGTGCTTGAACTATCACACCTGAATCCCCTGGGAAAGGGAGGAGGACTTAGCCAAGGTCCAGTGCCCAGGTCCCACCCAGACTTGCTCAATTGGGCTCCAGGATCCTGCCAGACAGTGCTAATCCTTGTAGCTCTCCTAACAAAAACAGTCTGCAGAGGTCATCCAGAGTAAAACCCCAAGTAAGGAAACATGTTATCCCACACCTCCTGGTGAGTTCATGGTATGGCTACACCAATTGGCAGCTGAGTACAGGGGGGCCCAGAGGCTAAAGTCCTCGCCTTGAGGCACTGGGATCCCACATGGGCACTGGTTCTAATCCCGGCCACCCTACTTCCCATCCAGTTGCCTGCTTGTGGCCTGGGAAAGCAGTCAAGAATGGCCCAAAGGCTTGGGACCCTGCACACATGGGGAAACCCGGAAGAGACTCCAGGCTCCTGGCTTTGGATCGACTCAGCTCATGCTGTTACAGCTGCTTAGGAAGTGAATCAATGGATGGAAGATCTTCCTCTTTGTGTCTCCTTTTCTCTGTATATCTGACTTTGCAATAAAAATAAATAAATCTTTAAAAAAAAAACTGAGTTCAGGGAAGGCAGTACCCTCATCTTATATTGGAGTGCTGAGTTCAAGTCCCTGCTGCACTGTTGATTCCAGCTTCCTGGTCCCCACACTCACATGAAGGACTGACAGATGGAGTTCCCAGCTCTGGATGGGGCTGGTTCAGTCTTGGCTGCTGGGGGCATTCAGGGAGTGAATTAGCAGATGAGAAAGCTAGCTCACTTGCTGGCTCTTTTTCCCTGTCTTTCAATTAAAATATTTTAAATGTTTAAAAAAGTGTTTTCGGGCCCGGTGCGGTGGCGCAAGTGGTTAAAGGTTCTCGCCTTGCACGCCCGGGATCCCATATGGGCGCCAGTTCTAATCCCGGCAGCCCCGCTTCCCTTCCAGCTCCCTGCCTGTGGCCTGGGAAAGCAGTCGAGGACGGCCCAAAGCTTTGGGAACCTGCACCCGCGTGGGAGACCCGGAAGAGGCTCCTGGCTTTGGATTGGCATAGCATCGGCCATTGCGCTCACTTGGGGAGTGAATCATCGGACGGAAGATCTTCCTCTCTGTCTCTCCTCTCTGTATATCCGCCTTTCCAATGAAAAAATAAAAAAGTGTTTTCCCTTTTAAAAAGAAGGAAAAAGACCCAAGTTCAGCCTGGGGCAAACAAAATACCTTACAGGCGAGGGGGTCCAGACTGGTTGTCATGGTGATGTTAAAATCAGTAAAAGAATGTTTAACATTGGCTGTGACAGAAGTTAGGAGCCTAACACATGAGACAACACATCACAAATAGACAAAAGCAGTAAAAGATTTGTCTTGGTTGTCATGATTCAAAAACAAAGAGCGCTATGCAGTCACCTGCCCCATCCTTTCTCATATGCAAACATGGATGCCAACAGCCACAAGGTGAGAAGTTCTCCCATAACCACTCTGAGCTGCAAGCCAGTGAGACCAAACTGACCCCATACCTGTGACCAAAGGAAAGACACTTGCTGATTGGCTTGAATTGTAAGCCATGATGGTGATGGAGGGGTGAGTTGAAGCTCATGCCTTAGAACAGTTGCAGGTCATGGCTACATCAGAGGTGTTTGCATCAATACCACAGGGTCAGAGTGCCGGGAAAGGCACTGGGGAGGGAGCCACGTATTAGCCTTCCCCCTTAGAACCAGTGCACTCAAAGTATGCAGCGGCATCATTTGACAATCTGGACTGAAAGTGGCAACTAACAATGACTAGAATTGTGCCAGAGGGCCAAGGACAACACAAAACTCCCCCAACAACCACCTCACCCCAACACCCTGCCAAGTGTCCCTAAGAAGAGGCATATGGGACATACAAAATACTTGGTTAGGACCTTGGCTCCAGGCCTAAGCCTGATTGCAGGAAAAACCTTTACCTGGGCAGGCAGGCAGGCCCAAGTATCTTGGAACCTAGCCAGCCAAGCTGCCCACGCAACCTACTGCCCAAGCCCAGACCTGAGTGTTGGCTCCACTTGGTCCTTTTGGGCAGGAAGGAAAGGCCAGGGATTCCAGAAAGCGGTAAGATCCAACAAGACAGAATCCCCAAGTGCCCACAGGTCCCTGGAAGAAGGGAGGGCACCACAATCTGCCACCCAGAGTGGGATTTGGGCCAAATTCACCTCAGTAATTCTGGGTGCAGCAGAACAGATACTTTGCAGCCATCCCAGGAATGCTGCCTCCTTGAGCAGGTGAACCAAACAATGTAAGCGTTCTGCAGAGGGGAGACTGTGTTGAGACTCCTGGAAGGAGGGATACAGAGAAATAAGGGGCAAATCTTGGACTGTGCAGTCCCTCTCCAAGCATTGCATCCCCATTCTATCCCTGGGTGCTTAGCTAGGTGCTAAAGAGGCCTCTCATGGGTCTGGCATTACAGTGCAGTACATTAAGCTACCTCTTGTTACACTGACATGCCGCTGACTTCTCCACTTCCAACCCAGCTCCTTGCTAATGCTCCAAGGAATCTGCAGCCCAGAAACAAGAAAGGCATCACTGGCTGGCACTGGCTGGCACTTGGTAAGCATGTCCAGTGCTCCAGGAGTGGACTGAGGGCTCCTCACCCTGAGCAAGAGTTCCCCTTCGGTCCTTAAGCCCGAGGATGCCTATTGTCTCCCAGCACTGTGAGCAACCTCCTGCCCATCCTACAGAAAGTCTTTGGAAGCTGTGGGCCCCTGAAGTCTTGAGACCCAGAGAGAGGGTCTACGAGGGCACTAGAGGCCGGCGAGCCCTAGGGAGTAGAAGCAGCTACTGAAATCAGCATAGGCTGGCACAGGGCATCTGTGTCTTCCAAGCGTCTGAAACCAGGCCAGAGTCCCCTGGAGTGATTTTAACCAGTATCCACTGTGGGGTGATACCAAAAAAGGGAAGTGACTTCCCATCCCAGACAGGCACATACCTAACCACTGGTCTTTTGTGCATTAGCCCCTGGAAACATCCAGAGCTAATGCTGCTGCAGGCCCTGAGCTGGAACAACCCGTTTTCCTGCCCTGGGTGTCGGGCCTTTAGCTGAAGGATACTTTGAGGCATTAGCTATTCTTACCCTCAGAAAGCAGCCTCACCCGCAGCTGTCCTGGGGAGAGATGGTATTTTTAGGCCCTAGAACAGCTGATTTGTGGCAAGGGTCAGAGGGCCCAGAGGGAGGATTGAATTGCTGGGGGGCTAACAGGGAAAGCAGGTGTAGTATCCCAAACTGGGGGTGGAAGGGTTTGGGCAAGAGCCAGCAGGGGCTGTAGTATAGATGGGTCCCCAATTCCTGCCTGATCATCAGAGAGTCTCAGGAAAGGTCAGTGGTTCCTCTAGTTCCCAGGTCAGCAGCAGCAGCATCTAAGAAACTCCTGCAAATACCAAGAAACCACTGCAATAAAAAGCCAAAGGATCAGCCCCTACCTGAAGCCACAACCTGGAGGTCAGGGCCCAGCCACCTCTTTGAACAACTGCCAGGTGGTTCCTAAGCTTGCTAAAGTTGATGCTTCTCAACTCCAAACCAGGGGTCCTCAGCCCACAAAAGCAAATACATCCACACATGGTCCCTGGTTAAAAAACTGCCCTTTGGCAGCCAGAAGGCCTTTCTTTGGGTCAAAGTCCAAAATACAGAGACTCCCAGGGACCAAAGATCCTGTCTGGATTGTCTCCTGCAGCCAGTGCAGGGAGCTGGTCTATGATATCCTTAAGCGACTACACTTCAGCTTGACACCAAGACTTTAAAACTGCTCATTTCCAAAGGGGTAGATGGAACCCTTGTTAACTCCTATGTTGATTAAAACCAACCCAGCTATGATGACATGGATGATGGTATACAGGCTTATAAACCCCAATTAAAGGAAGTGTGTTCCTGGCCTAAATGGTTAAAAAAAGAAAGAAAGAAAGAAAAAGAAGAAGCAGAAGAAGAACGCAGTCTTTCTAAACAACCTGTTTCCATGATGGAGAACTAAGTGATGGAAAATCCTCCTCTGCAGTGCTGTGATGTAGTCCCTGCCCCGGACCCAAGTTTTGGTTTGGGAGTCACAAGGAGCAAACCCAAAGTCTTGCTTTATAAAAGATGGCGTTTACTTTTCACCAGCCTTGCACGGCATGGTGGGGCGGGAAGGGGGGTGTTGCAGGGCTGCAGGCCCTGGCATCAGGACTCAGGTGGTTCAGAAAATGCAGGTGCAGCCCACAGCGATGGTTTCCATGACGGCGCGCTGGCGGCAAGGCCCGGTGCGTGGTGGCGGTGGGCAGAGGCGGCGGCGCACAGGCACCTGGCTGAACACAGGCACGCTCACCATGCTGCGGTCCTCCTGCATGGTGAAGGGGTTCACACAGCCCAGACACAGGCACTGTGCCTCCGGTAGGTCCGCAGGAATGCGGCTGGGGTCGTGGTTGATGCTAGGGGCGGCAGCAGGAAAGAGGCCAGGGTAAAGAAGGTGGTCAGGAAGGAGTGAGTAGGTGCCCACTCGCCCACAAACCTGCCTTTCCTGCAGAGAGACTGTGCTAGGCTGGAGGGAGGAGGGGCACCAGGAGGAAGCTGAAGGTCACTCAGGTGAGGTGAGCCAAGCTCATCCTGCTCCACCACTGGATGGTGCCTTCCCCGCCCCTCCTCATTTGTTATGCACATCCAGGGAAAGTAAAGTGGGAGCATGTGAACCCCCACATCCCACAGGAAGAGACATCAGGAGGACAGCATCTACCCACACTTCGCCCTCTGTGCCCTCAATGGGTCCTCCACACATACTTGGTTCGATCCCAGCCTCTGGCTGTTCATGGAGGAGCAATATCACCCAGTTCCCTCCTGGCACTCTCCTGGAGCCAGGCAGGTAGAACCTTGCTTGCAACCCTGCCTTCTCTGTGCCTCAGTTTCCTTATCTGCCAAACAGGGGGTGGTGCATGGCAGGGATGAGCAGAACCTCAGGATACACAGGGCCAGCAACATGGCCTTCTTAGGCCCAGTTGCTGCAGTCAGACCCTAAGTCTTCATCAGGTCCAGCCCTGTAGGTCTTTTTAGAGCTCTCCCTCGGCCACTGGCTGGACCCCAGGATACCCGAGTCCCCAGGCGATTCTGACGCAGGCCTTAAAAAAAAAGGCCTGTGCGGTATGAGAGACAGAGACATACACAGCCAGCCTAATGTTCATGCAAGTGGCATGGACTGCAGGCCCCTCAACCAGGACTGGCAGAACAATGGAATAGCGCTCTGTGGACAACTCACTCAGCAACAGACCCTAATGTGGCCCATAAGTTGTCCGTTGGTATCCACAAGGGACTGGCTCTCAGCTTCCTCTCCTCCTGCCACAGTTACCAAAACCCAAGATGCTCCAACAGTTTCCCTCTATATAGGGGCCAGCATTGTGGCATAGTGGGTAAAACCTCTGTCCACAGTGCCAGCATCCCATGTGGGTACAATTCAAATCCTTGCTGCTCCATTTCCAATCCAGCTCCCTGCTAATGCACCTGGGAAAACAGCAGTGGATGGCTCACATGCTTGGGCCTCTACACCCATGTGGGAGACCCAGATGAAGCTTCTTACTCCTGGTTCCAATGTTCAAATAAATAAATACTTTTTAAAAAAGCATTCTATTTACATATAATTTATATAAATCCTCCCATATACTTGAAGTCATCTCTAGATAACTTGCAATATGTAACACAATGTAAATGTTATGCAAATAGCTCTTACCCTATATTGCTTAGAAAATGAGAAGGAAGAAAAAGGCCTGCACATGTTCATCACAAATGCAATGTTTTCGCAGGTTGGTAAAACTCAGATATGGAGGGCTGACTGTCCTGCCACCTCCAGCTACAACTGAGAACCCTGCAGCTCAGAAAGGCTAACCCACTTGCCCAGAGCCACACAGCTATCAAGAAGTAGAGCAGGAATTCAAACCCAGGCACTCCAGGTTTCAGCCATCACAGTGCCCAGGGAAGGGGTGGCAGTGGGGAGGGGAAAATTTGGTGCCCATAGCCTGCCCAGTGCCACCTACCTGTAGCCCCAAGGAGAGAGACTTCTCTTGTTGGACAACCACAGCTGCAGGTTGACCTCACATTTTCTCTTGGCAGGCTCAGAGCTGTTTCGCAGCTGGGCCACCATTTCCCCAAGGTTCCTCTCGTACTCCTCCATCCGTGCATACGGCTTCACTCTTGACACCAGGTCCTGTGGCACCTGCTGAGACCCAGGGGCCAGGGGCCCAAGACGCCCCTGCCCCCTCCTCTTGCCTTTGGAGTTCCTGGGCTGACCCAGCCCCAGGAAGATGGAGATGGCAAGGAGGAACACCTAGGGAGGAAGGTCATGGCTCAAAGGTTGAAGAGTTGAGACTTGGATCCAGGGAAGGGACAAGGAAGATGAAAGGCCTCTACGTGGTCCATTCTCCCTTGCCATGCACTGACCCAACCCCACAGAACAGCAACACAGGCCTACAGATACCCACTCAGCAGGATGTTCCAGAGTGGGCACCATTGCCAGCTCCTTCTCTCTCTCCTCTCATACCCAACTCACCACTAAATCCTGACAGCCTGGCACCTTCTAATACATCCCCACCCATCCACTTGTTTCTGCTCATATGACCATTCTGTTCTTCAGACAGTTCAACCCGGCCTTCCCCATGCTCCCGTGATTCCTGCCAACCAACCAACCTTCCAGCCTAACACCCTGGCCATGGCCCTCAGGGGGCTCCTGGAAGACCTCCTGTTGCCTCTCACACTTGGACTCCAGCTTCTTTCTCCCATTCTCTCTCATCTTGTCCTTTTCTGCCCCAGGAACTTTGCACAAGCTTCCACCTACAGTATTCTGCCTCTTCTGTCCACCCCTTGGTTTTGGACACCTCTGGGCTTTCCCTCCACTCTCTTAGCCCTCATGCCTCATGCATGACTGCAGGCTGACACCTGTGCATGTCCTCTACTATGCATGGACTCTAAGAGAGCATCATGTCATGTGTCACACACTCTCTTATTCCTTATCTGCTTGTGGTCTGGGTATGCAGATACTCAGAGCATCCTTGCTGAATGCGTGGGAAGGGAAAACAGATAGTGGGCAGAGAGATGAATTCCTAAGTCTTGCTAGCCACCAGTGCAATGATGGGAGCCCCAGAGCAGGAGCAGGGCTTCTGTTGAGCCTATGCCATGGCAGTGGTCCCACAATGTATTTGGCAGGGGGCAGGAGGACTTGGGGTGCTGGAAAATGCCAGGTGAGGTTTGCAGGGTAAGAGGGAAGCAGGGCTGGGCAGAGGGAGCCTGAGAGGGTAAAGTGGCAGAGAAAAGGCCGAAGCTGTTAAAGACTGGGATGAAAGCAAACAGTAGCTGATATAGTGTGGGTTGGAGGAAGGGTTGTGACATAGAGTGGGGGAGATGGGCAGCCACAGTCTGAGGACCTTCATTGGACCCCATTTCCATCACTCGGACCCTCTCCTCCTCAAGCCCTCACACTCTCCCTTTGCCTGCCTCCATTGTTCTCCTACCAACAGTACCTTTGGCCTCTATACACAAGGAGCTCAAGGACCCAGAAACACGGAGATGCCTCAGGAGCCAGGGATAGGGGGACCACTGGGACACAAGTGGGGACCAGAGCTGGACCCTCTAAGTGAGGTGTTCTCCTTCCTGTTTACCTTTGGACTCCAAAGCTGTGCTGTGTCCTATACCCCATCCTGGCCTGCACAGCCCATGCCCAATGACCCCAGGCTCCTCAGCAAGTATGCACTGGACACAAATTGCAGCACAATCCCTCCTGGCACAGTCAGGCCCTGGCACAAAACTTATACCCCTTCCCCCAGCCCCACCCCGAGTCAAGTCACTCACTTCCGTGGTCATTTCTAGCTCCTGGGACAGAAAAGGTCTCCCTGACAATAGGCTCCCTCATCAGAGCCATGCACACAGCATGCTCAGATTCCACTGCAAGAAGCCCAGAGGAGAACCGCACCCCATCACCCCTCATGTCCCAAATGGGAACAGAGAAACGGAAGGACTTGTCCAAGGTCACACACCAGGACTCCCTGGAAAAACCCCACGGACTGGGCCTGCCAGGATCTCCCCAGATGCCTTCAGCCTGAAAAGGCTTCAGTGTAGACGGACTGAGCCCTGAAGGGGAACCTGAGCTCCAGGCCATGCTACAAGCTCTGAGACCTGGCTCTGTTTCTCTGCAACCCTGGAGGTGCGGGTGGGGGGGCCACTGACAGAGAGAGAGAGAGGGCTTGGCTCTGCAGATTCCCAGGCAAGCGGAGGCAGCCATTAATCAATGGGAAAGCAAGCCCTAAAAGGGCTGGGGGTAGGGGGAATGCCACGTACCAGGCTGTGCGGCCAGTCCATCCCCAAGCCGGGCGCCAGGCCCGCAGCTGCCGCAGACGCTGCGAACCCCGGATGCCGATGTCCAGAGAGTGGCAGCAGCAGGATGGAGAGGAGCAATTATAGCTCGACGGGGGGCTGCTGGGGGAGCGGGTGGGTGGGCTCGTCATCAGCTGGGAGCCTTGGGCCCCCAGCTGGCTGGGTCCTACACAGTGGAAGGCAGCAAGGAGCGTGGGGGCAGGCCAGGAGCCCAGCTGAGGTGCCCAGGGGCTGTTGACCGAAGGACAATGCCCTGTGTGTCTGGTGGGGCTCTGGCTGGTGGCACCTCCGCCTGTGGCCTGAGGCCGGCTGCCCGGCCAGCACCCGCAGGGCCAGCTAAGACAATCAGCTTCGTTTGCTTTGGGGATGCGAGGAGGTGAGGGTGGAGGAGGGATGGGCCGTCGGGTGGTCAGGAGGGTCAGCAAGGAGCAGGACACAGACCCCGTCTCCCAGGGACACAACCTCAGGTGAGCACAATGTCCCCGAGCCCTGTCATTCCTCTTCTTGCTATCTCCTCCCAACCACCCCTGCCAGCTCTCAGGCAGGGAAACTGAGGCCTGGGTAAGGCAGGGACTTGTCCAGCATCGCACCAGGAGTTAAGGGTGACAGCTAGGATTTGTTCCTGGTCCCCTGCCCTGGGCTCAGGGACTCGCTTGTCCACACTGTTTTCCTTGGGATAGTTCCTGCATTCCCAGCCCCCTGCTTCTGAACCTGCATGTCTCAAACCAGCAAAGCAGCAGATCCAAGGGGAAGACTGCAGAGCCTGTGGTTCTGGCCTCTTGGGTGCAGCACCCCATGCTCCTGTGTCACAAGGCTGGATCCTTCCTTCACCCTCAGCCTCAGCTCTCTTTTCTGTAAAATAGGAGTTGTGTCCAGGAATAGAAGCAGTTTGGCTCTTCCTTCTCTGGGATCTTTCTGAGCCTTAGTTTTGCATCTCTAGAACGGGAAACATTGTAGCAGCTTTCTCTGGAGACTGCTGTGGGGAGTCAATGCAATACTGCATGCTGAATAGCTGGCATGGGCCCTAGAAGGTAGTAAGTGCTCAATAAACACTTACCAGTCTATGATAAATTAAAATGATGCAGCATCGGAGTAGGAGCTGTTGTAACTGGCATGAGTGCCAGCACAGTTCCTGTGGCTCATCTGCCTCTCCCTGCTCCTCCCTACAGCCTCCCCTCTGGCTAGGGGAGCTCTGGCCTTCCCAGACTCAAACTGTAACTTCACAGTCTCCACTGCACCCACACTCCGGGAGTGAGGGGAGAGGACGCAGGTCCTGGAATCACATGCTCAACAGGCCAAGATCGCTCACCTCTCTTGAGTGGATAGTCCAGCCAACCTGGGCACAAGAAGACCCGTGTGGGGTAAAGGGTAGGAGAGGGGGTGGAGAGACACTGGGAACAGGGATTCTGAACTGTCCTGCCAGTCCTGGCCATTTACAGCAATTGCAAGAAGAGGAACGCAGGGTAAGAGGCGCTCCCGAATGTCACAAGATTAATCTGTCCAGGGCAGGTTTCCATGGCATGACTGAGCAGCCAGCTGAGGCCCAGCTCATCCACAGATACCACCATATTTGGTCAAATGCTAGACAGGGCTCGATCCTATCGCTGGAAACTTCAGAGGGAGGGGGACTCTGAAAATACCTCTTCAGGCAACAAGGGAGCCACCCCCAGCCCAGGCGGGCCCAGTCACTGTCTGACCCAAGAAACTGGCCTGCCTGGGGGCGGGGGAGGGGGCAGTTGGAAGTCTCCTGTGCTAACTCTCCACTCCCTCTGGCTGCTGCCACAGCGGGGGTCTTATAGACCAGCAGCAGCAATGACTGAGGCCACAGTCAAGTGAGCAAGTGGAAAGGTATGTGTAGAGTCCAGGGTCTCCTTGGCTTTGGAGGATCCCCAAAACCTGCAGTCTCCTCTCCAGAAGGCAACACAAAGCCCTATGTCTTCCTACCCAGCTCTGCTCATAGCTGCAGCATTGCTTAATGCTGATCCCAGGACCTCAGACCTGGAGGTTCTGATGTAGCAGGCCTACGAATCAATCTGCCTTTCACCACGAACCTAGTCTGGGAGCTGCAAGGGTCCTCACATTTCCTCTAAGCTACCCCTCCCCACCGTTATCCAGCAGACTACCAGAAACTACAACCCAGGGAGAAGGGACCTTGCCCACACTCACACAGCGTCTTTGTGCAGGAGCTGGGATCAGAATTCAAGCTCCCGTCTCCTGCTTTCACCCTAGACCGCACCCAAACAGCTCTGAGCCAGGCTGACCTCCCTGCCGGTCCGGAGAAGACCAAGGAGTTAGGCTTTTCTTTCCAGAGGCTCTAGGCATCCCTCCCAACACACACACACACACACACACACACACACACACACACACACACACACGCACACAATGGGGGTGGCTGTGCATTCTGAGGCAGGGGGAGTCAGGCAAGCATGGGTCCAGCCACCAACACTGGGTTTCACATCCAAGACCACCTCAGTTTAAGGAGCAGCCCCTTCCTCCATGCTCAGCAACCAGGACCCACTAAAAAGAATGAGCCCAGGTAGGCCCTGTGACTGCTCCAGGGATCAGTGCCAGGCCTGAGAGGGAGGCAGAGGGACAAGGGCTTTGGGATTCTTGCCTTGTGGGCAAGGCTGGGGACCTTTGCACACAGGTTGTTTGCACACAGGAGAGTTGTGGGGCAGATGGGGCTCGGAGCACTGCCCCAGGCCTCAGTGGCCAACCCCGCAGGGCACAGTGCTGAACCTACCACCAGATGGCACCACCAGAAAGCCAGAAAACCCTGAAGAGAACAACAAACCCTAACCCAGCTATTCCCCTACAGTGGGTGCTAGACTGAGCCCACCGCTCTCAGCTGGGGCATATTCACATCACACTAAGGGTAGGAGCTCAGCAGAATCAGTCCCTCTTCTCTGAGCATCTAGCACATCACCATTCTCCCAGAGCAGTGGTTACTGACAGGGTGGCTGCTAGTATCCATATACAGGCTGCCAGGCACCAAGCGAGCAGTTTCTCAAGGGTACTGCTCCACTCAATGGTCCCAGCCACCTGGCAGGAGGTTCTCATTTCATTTCAAATCTGTGGGTGCAGAAACAGTGGTCCAGCGAGCATAGTCACCTGCCCAGAGGCACAGAGGACCCAAAGCACCTTTGCCTGACTCCATGGTAGGCAAAAAGGGAAGAGGGGACTGGGCAGTTGTCACCTGGTCACCGAGGAGGTTCCACAATGGTCCTGGCCTCACTCTGGCATCCTCTGGATATTCAGGTTCTTTGCAGACTCAGAGCTCACTCAGTCTCCAAACCAGAGTCTCCAGGCAGGCCCGATGACTCCCAAGCTGTGGGCATGCAAGCTTTGGCGATTCCCAGCACACTGTACCCATTTGCTTAATGTTTGATCATTTGAATCAAACTGGCTAACCCAGGGTGGCCAGACCCTGAGAAACTAGTTTGGTGGTGACCCAGAGGAGGGTGCGCAGCACAGCGGATAAGAAGTCAGACTGCACAGGTGGATCTCTTCAAATTTCAATCCTGCCTCTGCCTCCTACGTTGCTGTGTGACCTCAGGAGAACTATCTGACATATCTGACTCAGGAAGACCATGAATAACTCAGCTCTGACTGATGGATTATGGAGAGGGTTATTGGGAAGAATGTACTGTAAAGCACCTAACAGAGCAGGGGGCCAAAGCCAAAGTAAGCAACTGAGGGTTGCAACCATGAAAACAAGTTTTGACTTGAGCCTTCAAGCATGCTTCTGGAACATTTCCAGGAGGTGCAGTGTAATGTGGGGATGAGGACAGAAGTGGAGGAAGAATGTAGAGGCCCCTGTTCCCAGTGGCGCACCCTGGAACCCAGGCTAAGCCAGGAGAATATAAAAGGAATGAGGTCTGAAGTTTGCCCACAGGGACCCAGTGAGATTGGAGACAGCAGGAGGAGATACTTTGTGGCTGCAGCAAAAGAACATACCCCCACAGGAGGTCCTGGCTCCCATCTGTGCCACCCAGCCCTCCCTCCCGGGTAGCAGTCCTTCTCTCAGGCCCATATTTGCACAAATGCCTGCCTCACTGCTCTCTCCAGAGCCCCGGCCAAGAGGGGCTATTTTAAGCTCCCTAGACGGGAACATTGTTGGTGGGAACAGTCCTAGCCAACAAGCTCTGAGTTCTCAAAAAAGGGAAAGGCCTGGTGAATGGGCGGCCCCTGGGAGGGGTTGAGGGGCTGAGGGTCCGAGAGGCCGCCACTTCACCATGACCTTCTCCCCAGGCAAGTCTGGCACCAATGTCTCCTCCTGCACGAGGCAGGGTAGGAAATGCGAGGTGGGGTAGGGGGCTGAGGAGTGGTCTTGTTTTTTCAGTGACTGGGGGACCTGGACATGTGTTACATACATCCAGCTTGCCAATGCCAGCTTTGTTTCTGGGTTGCAAAGCCGCTCCCCACTGTTCTTAATATGTACTCAGCATGTACCACTATGGGCCATCAGAAGAAGGGGTCTCTGGTCCAAGCTGAAGCCCCTGCCAAGTGCCTTTGCTGGGTACCAGCCTCTAGGCTAGGGAGATCACTTGTGAGAATATACATTTCACTGGGTTAGCATCTGGGGGTTAAAAATTATGAAAGTTTTCCATTTTAAATGTATTTGTCTGAAATTCAGACAAGACACAGAGGGAGCTCCTATTTGCTGGTTCACGTCCCACGTGCACACAACAGCCATGGCTGGGTGAGGCCAGAGCCAGGAGCAAGGGATTCACTCTGGGTCTCCCACATGGGTGTCAGTCATCACTTGTTACCTACAAGCTGGAATCAAGTCAGGACGCCAATGCAGGTGCTATCATATGGAAAAGCGGCATCCCAAGTGGTAACTTAACTGCTTTGACAAACACCTACTGCAAAATTTTCTTTCTTTTTAAGGTTTTTATGTTGGCATCAGCATAGCACAAAAAGTTAAGCCATCACAAGCAACACTGGCATCCCATACTAACACCAATTCAAATTCCAGCTGCTCTACTTCCAAGCCAGCTATCTGTTTAACCTGCAGGGGAAAGCATGGGAAGATGGCCCAAATGCTTGGGCCCCTGCCTCCTACACGGGAGACCTTGTTGG